AGGTTCACCCAAAACTTTATATCTAGTAGGTAGTTGTCCAACATGGACCAGTTTAGTTTTGTATTTTCCTAACAGATTATCCCCAAGAGTAACCTAAAACTTATTGCTGTACACAAGTCTTGAGAAAATAAGTCTGTAACATATGGGCCTACGCCCGCAATAAACTAAGAGAGGTAAGGCATAGCGGACTTCCCGCTCGAATTGGAGCGCCCGTCTGGAGAAAAAGAAGACATTCTTATTCAAATACATCGTGCTTTTGATGTCTTACTTGCACGGTGTTATGATAAGCAGATTCAATCTCCTGTGTCTCATTCGGCAGATCCCTTTCCATCTTCATACCAATAATTCATAAAAATCGGTTCCATCATCGTTTTAGGCGTGTAATAGTAACAGACACTTTCTGTCTGAAGGTTCCGAAGTCACAAAAGAAACCCTTATAGTTTCACCATGTCCGTTCATCCGTCTGTTCGCAGCTAAGCTCACAGTACTATTAGAACTGGAAAGTTGTAATTTGGCATGGATACCTATTCATATAAGTCACACTGATAAAGTGGTAATGTTCCCTCTGTAAACCCCCATGGCGCAGGTGGTTAGCAAATTCGGTCTGCGATTGAGGAAGTTAATAAATTTTCGTAAAGTTCGATCATAGGATGGGTGGCCAAAAACCTATGATCTCGGGCTCCTTCGTGGTTCAGAAAGAACTTTATGCCGTTGGTCCCGACTGCATCTGCATTTTTTTATCACTCGACAATCCGCGCGTGGTGGGTCACAGCCCAGTCTCCCTATTCCATCCATAAGGAAGAAGGCCTGTGCCCCAGGAGTGGGGACATTAATAGGCTGATGATAATAAGAATAATGAACGTTCCCTGTAAAGACAGGCATTGTGATTTTTAATAAACATAAGGAAAAAAGCAGTATTTACTTTCAGGAATGGTGGATGTACGCTATCACAGCAATCGCTGTATTCAGCTGCTGCTTATTTCTCAACTACATTGTGAAAAAAATTAACGGTAACTAAGTTTGAGATCAGTTTTATATTCAGGTTAGCTTGATGGCATTATATTAAAAAAACAACATAAATCACTACAAAACAGATCACAAAGGACGTATTTTTGGCTTAGAACCAAAACCATGAAGAAATGTTATATTAAATCGCATTATTGCATATTTTTCATTAATGCTCTGTTTTATTGGAACGAAATTCCTTTTCGGATGGTATGGCGACCGGGAACGGTGCCGATGGACCGGGAGCTTCACATTGGGACCATTCCGCACTGGGCCCATTCTGCACTGGGACCATTCCGCACTTAAAAACTTTTTTTATAGGTTCAATTATTAGAGATAGAAATTCAATTATTAAAACGATATTTAAATACAATTAAATTAGTTTTTCCTAGGAACCGAAGTTCTTAATTGTTAAACTCAAGGAAATAAATTATTTTTTCATTAGAATTTAGGCCCAGATTGTTTTGCTTGAAGTACAAAGTTTGTGAACTTTAACCATTGATGAATGAATATAGATCAGCATTCACTAAGTGGATACCTACTTTTATCAAGGATGGTAAAAAATATAACGATTTAAATTTTGTTGACTTATGTACCAAATTAATTAGTATTCACCGCCTTATTAAAGGAGATTCTGTCACCCATGTTAAATAAGTCCCACCATACAATTAAAAGTTTTTGTTTTTATAAGTATTAGTTGTAAATTAATATATTTTATGCTTGGACGCTTAAACCACATTTTCCCTCACTCAATCAATCAATATTATTATAATAGTTAAACAATATAACATGATAAGAATATTATTTTCAGAAGCTGATTTAGAAGAGAGACTGGTAACGCTGCAATTGAAATGTCCTGCAGGTCAAGTGACGCAAGTCCAAGAAAGTGGAATGAAGGCACCTTCGAACATATCACAAAGAAATTTAGTTGCCATCAAATCAAGCCGAATTGAAGACACAAAAACTTATGTAGGTGAAATGAAAGAAAACAGAACCATAGTTCTATCTGAATCATTTGAAGAGCCTTCGCTTCTTCTTGGTACTATTAACAGACCGTCGGAAATTACTGACTTCCCTAATATTAATCGGACAGAAGTTATTGAATTAACCGATGTGGCTCAATCTGCCCAGACATCTGTAAAATCTGACTCTGAAGAATATGTTAAATCTTTAAACGAACCATGGAGTAACGCAGTCCAAGCAGTAGTTGTAAATGATCTGTTACAAAAAGACCTATTTCTGCCGATTGTTGAGGAAAATAAAGCTTTAACGATAAATAGCACAGTTACAGAATTAAGACTTGAGAATTTTTCTAAATCAATAATGAACGATCAAAATAATATAACAAAACATAATGAAGTGAATTCAGATAATAATGAAAGCAATCCTAGTATAAACCATTTTTCTAAAATTATCCATTTGCCTACAACTTCTAATGCAATGGTTGATAATCAACAGGAACAAGTAGAAGACAATATAACACAAAGACATTTAGAAGCCATCAAACCAAACCAAATAAAAGATAAGAAAACTAATGTAGGTGAAAAGACAGAAAATAGGCTCATGGGTCTAAGATCTGCATTATTGGATGAGTCTTCGCTTTTTCTTGGTACAGTTTACAGACCGTCTGAAATAATTGACATTCCTCATAGTAAACGCACAGAAGTTATAGAACTAACCGATGTGGCTCAGTCGGCCCAGACATCTGTAAAATCTGAATCTGAAGTTTATGTAAACTCATTAAACGATCCAAGGAGTAACACAGTTCTAGCAGTAGTAGTAAATAAACTGCTACAAAAAGACCAAACGATTTTTGATGAAACTAAAACGATAAACAGCACTGATACAGAATTAAAACGACTTCAGAATTCTTCTAAATTAATAAATAAAGTTAATGAAGTGGAGTCAAAAAATAGTAATAGCAATCCTAGTGAAAAACATATTTCTGAAATCGTTAATCTACCCACAACTGCTAATGTTGTTGATAATAGACCACAAGAACAATTAGAAGATAACAGTTAAGATAGTTTTGTGTCAAAGCTGAATAATTCTGTGATGTTTAATAAATATTAATATTAGTATTTCTTTCTTAATAAAAATACCTTTGCCGATTTGGTTCTTATGGATTTATGTTATTTGAAGAACAGTTAAATTTCATTGGAAGCTGGTCTCTTTGTACAATGCGAAGAGAATGCTCCTCGCATTGCAGCCTAAGAAATACCAAAGGATTTTTTTGTAATAGTAATGTTTTTAATAAATCAATAATAAATTCTGATCACAACGGTCGATTAGCCTCTGTTGAACACCATCATGCTTCATCCAAACATTACCTAATGTGTAGGAAAATTGCGCAAACTGGTAAATAAAGAAATTATAAACAGTGTTTAACGTAAAATATCACACCACTTTATTTTATTTAATCAAAGAGGAATTAATAATATTTAACGTAACGCAAAGTAACTGATATCCTGTAACTCTCATCTGGGATCCTAATATTGAAGCCTTATCTAGTAGACAACACCGCGGCTTTTAATTTTAAAAGAATATGACTCTTAACTATTGTGGAAACGGCAAGATTGGTTTACTTTGGTTACTTCCATAACATTATAACATATAGCCTTTTGTTGTGGGGCGTAACTGCTAATATCGATAATATTTTAATACTGCAAAAGAGAGCTGTTCGCGCCATATACAACTTGAAGGCAAGAGATTCTGTACAGTATTTTTTTTAAGAAATTAATATTTTAACACAGGCATCGCAATTTATTTATGAAAATCTTTATATATATAATTCTTCTGTGAGTGTCTATGTCACTGAACTTCTCTTAAACGACTGGACCGATTTTGATGAATTTTTTTGTGTGTGTTCAAGGGGATCTGAGAATGGTTTAGATTCACAATTTTGTCCGCTGGACAACCCCTATTTTTTTAGGGCGATACGAAGTTCGCTGGGTCAGCTAGTATAATATATATTAGAAAAAACTATGACTCATTTGCAAAGAAAAAGTTAAACCCATAACTTTAACAAAAGACTTAAGAACAAGCTTGCCATTCCATGTTTTAGACTGCAAAAATCGAGAGGTTCATTTCTGGTATTGCACTGTTTAGTAAAGTTCCCCAAAATCTGATTGCGCTTCCTCTGACCAAATTTAAATCTCATATCAAGAATATTCTTGAGTAAGGGCTACTAGAAAGTTAATGATTATCTTAATGATAAATATACTTATATATGTACAATATATGTATTCTATCCGTTACCCTAGTATCCCATAACACAAGCCTTACAGTGCTTACTTTGGGGCTAGGCTAATTGGTGTGAGTGTTGGAAATATTTATTTATCTTAATGATCGTAATGCATGGACATACTGTTTCTTGTAATGTAATGGTTAGACATTTTTCATAACAATAATGTGGTATCTGAAGCCGCTTTCTCTATACATGCTAAAATGTAAAGCTCACTATAAAACTTATTGGATATAGCTATATTCTAAATTATGTAATGGAAGATAACTTCAGAACTATCCCAGAAGCCATTTCAACTTGACGACTCTGTATATAATAATACAGGGAGAAAAGAATAGCCCTTGCTGAGGTTCTTGTCTGTTCTTCTCAGTACAAAGTCTCCCGCCGTAATTTTGCAAACTGATGGCGTAGCTTCTCGACTTGAGAGGGCTGCAAGAGCTTCGAGGGTTGGCAAAAGTCATTGAAAGGCCATTAGTGACACCATGATTACACCTATATTTTGTACAAATACTGTCTATAATCAAACTGATCTTCCCTATCTTTTCTTCTTACTTTTAAATCACTAATAATGAAATCTAGTTTATAACTATCATTATTAAAGAAAAAAAAATTAGCGCGATATATCGACCAAATAAATCCATGTTCATTTATAATATTACCTAGGCTGTGTGAATATAATATCCATTGTCTTAGAAAGGGAAAAGTTATAACAACATTGTGAAAAAATCATTATGTCATTAATATGCCAAAAATCAAAATAGCGAGCGGTAAGCGGATTTCTTCATAAACGCCGTACCTGTTTTATTGCAAAAATACACAAGTACAACATTCAGTCAAATAAAATATTGTATGCTTTGTTCCTGTGAACAATAATGTTATCATATTAACCATTGCTTATAATCAACAAAGGGTTTAAATCAACATGACTTCAATCATCAAATTACACTGTCTCTCCGGAGCTGGAGACGAGTCTCCACCATGCTACGTGCTCCAAATAGATGAGTTCAAGATCCTCCTAGACTGTGGATGGGACGAAAAATTTGATATGGACTTTATAAAGGAATTAAAAAGGTAAGAGTTGTAAGGTTATGTTTGTATTCATCAACAACTGTTTTAAAGAAATTAAATTGTTTTTCTCAGCTTAAACTTATTATAATTGTACAAGTTTAAGTATTTTTTCCTTTCAGACATGTTAATAGTATAGATGCTGTACTTCTTTCACATTCTGACCCGCTACATCTTGGTGCATTGCCATATGCAGTAGGAAAACTTGGGCTGAACTGCCCTATATATGCCACACTTCCCATTTACAAAATGGGACAAATGTTCATGTACGACTTATACCAGGCTCACAGAAATGTTTCTGACTTTGACTTATTTACATTGGATGATGTTGATGCTGCATTTGACAGAATTCAACAGTTAAAATATAACCAGAGTGTTAATATGAAAGGTAAGGAAAGTTATATCTCTCAATACTTAGTGTATATATTTTAAACAAGATCTGTTGTTGAATTTAAAATGTAGGTTTTTATCAAGTTTACTTTACTGAAATGATATAAACCTGAGGTTTTCTGAAATTAATTTCTAGGCAAGGGTCTTGGAATTCGTATAACACCATTACCAGCTGGTCACTCTCTTGGTGGTACGGTGTGGCGTATAGCAGCCCCAGGGGAAGAAGATATAGTGTATGCTCCAGACTTCAATCACAAAAAAGAACGGCATCTTAACGGTTGTGAGATCGAAAGGTTGATGAGACCTTCACTGTTGTTACTTGGTGCTATGAATGCTGATTACGTTCAACAAAGGAGAAGATTGAGAGATGAAAAACTCATGAGTAAATACAGATTTTTATCCTTTCAATTCTTGTACACAAATCCTTTTATAAATTCCTAATCATATTAGTTTTTAAGCTTTTTAGGGTTCCGTACCTCAAATGGACTAAACGGAACCCTAATAGGATAGGTATTTGTTGTCCGTCCGTCCATCTGTCAAGACAGTTTTTCTCAGGAATGCATGGAGGTATCAAACTGAAATTCATATCTAATATTCAGGTATACTGTCCCTTCGAGCTGTGAAAAAATCAAACTTCTAAGCCAAAGCAATCAAGAAATAACAGCCGTTTACGCTGCAAATTTTCGAAACTCACGGGAATCAAAACCTGCAGGATACTTCTTAGCTGCAGGGAACTTAGAATCTTAAAAATTTATTTAAAATTATAAAGGAAAAATTGCGAAACCCTAAATTTAAAGTTACATTATATATTAAAAAATATTTTTTAATAATTATTAAAATATACCTACAGGTTTGTAGGGAACCCTCGGTGCGCGAGTCCGACTCGCACTTGGCCGGTTTTTTAATTTTTTATAATTATTTAAATTATCTTCATTTGCTGTAAGGTCCTTTATGTAATATTAAATTATTCTTTACAGACAATAGAGCATTTTAATTAATTAAATTAAGAAAATAATTGAATTACTTTAATAATCAAAAATACTTCTGAGCATGCCATTTTACAATTAATATGGAAATCAAAAAACTCATTTCATTTCTTAAATAAATACTAGACCGGGCGCTAGAGGTAAGTGAGTATGCATAATGTGAGTACCGAATTTTGCCAACGGATTTAAGTGAAGAATAGGTCAAAGAATAATAATGTGAATCTTGCCGGTCGATTTTTTGGTCCATATTTATTTTACCTCCTTTTCTCTTATTCGTAAAGGGAATGTATTGAGTACATGATATAAAATCATTTTAATGATTATTTTTGTAATAATTTATAGTTTTTTCTAATGGTAAAAGTCAGGATGGATTCTTAAATAATAAAAAAAAAATCAAAGTAATATTTTTTTATCAATAAAATAAAATAAAGTTGCCTACTCATGAAAACCCAGCGAATCCAAGCATAAATGTATTTAAAGTAGGTACAAAATTATTCATTTTTATTTTTACATTTGTTATTGATGCAGTTACATAATTAAATACAAAACAATTTTGATTTTTGGCAATTACAAGACATTGTGCGACAATCCGCAGTACATTTACATGGTGAAATTAATGACTCTGATAAAGACGGCTTCGTCATTTGTCGTGGACGTAAGTCACCGTTGAGCTTTTCGTAACCAAATGAACAATAATCAATGGGTGGTAATTGTGTTTAATGAGCATTTTTCCATATAAATGTTTGTACAGTAGCCAAGTGTGCCAAGCCAGTAGCCGCTGGTGCTGTGGCCACGGAAGCGGACCTGGCAGCTCCGGATACTGGAGGCAGGGCGGAACCAAAAAGAAAGATAAGCCCGATGGTCATGGTGAAAGGTATCTCCAAAGATGTGCGCAGCGAAGAGCTCTTGGGAAACATCATCGAGCAAAATGAGCACCTGCAAGAGCTCTCCGCGGACACTGACATAAAACTGCGGTTCATTAGGAACAATACAACAAACAGGAAGCCAAGTAGTCAATACACTTGTAACAGGCACTAAAAATTTACGAAAATAATATTTTTTTTAATGTATATATAAAAATACGACTTAACAAAGCAACGTCTTTACGTGAATAGATGTAGAAACACACTAAACGCGTACGCGCGCTATGCTTAATGTATGGGCGAAGAGGGGATGTGAAGAGAGCGGGAAGGGACCATTACATCTGGCGGCAAGATGTGTTTTATTATTATTTAGGGTCTCAGGTATAAGAATCCGGTCATAGTTGCCGTCACTCGGATTTTGCATACTCAACTACCTCTAGCGCCTGGACTATACATCTACAATTAATTTCTTGATTCTGTTTATTCTAAATAGGTAGATTGCTTAAAAAAACAACAGGCCAAATGAAAATTTAAAACCTTCATAATATCTTATTTTATTTGTTATAAGATTTTTTTTGCAAATTACAAAATAAATCCAAAAAGCAAACTCAACAATTTTGAATACCACTTTATGCACATGTTCTAATTTTGTCATAACAAGTATGGGAGTTAGTATATTATAACAGTTATTATTGTTGAAATGCAGCCACAATTCTTACGACTCTCCGTGGAGGTGGGTGCGTACTGGTTTGCACCGATACTGCTGGTCGAGTTCTAGAGCTGGCTCACATGTTGGATCAGCTGTGGAGGAATCGTGACTCAGGGCTTGTTGCATACTCCTTACTGCTGCTGTCCAACGTTAGCTACAATGTTGTGGAATTTGCTAAATCACAAGTAAGTATGGCTTTTATCATAAAATTAAAATTTAATTGGGAACTTATTTGTTTTGTACAGCTTTATTGTTGTATTAGATAAATAAACAGCAATTATTAGAGAGAAAAAAATCACTCAATTGCAGGCAAAATGAGATACTTTTACTAGTATCCAACATTGGACAGCAGTAATAGCAATGTAGTTTTGTATTAGAAAAAATTTACTGCACATTTTTTCTCTTCAAAATTTTAGTAATGGTCATGAGCATACCACCCTTTTTTTTATTATTAAATCTTTATTACTCCATATCAGTTACATTTCAACAGTGTATTAGTATACAATTTATATAAAAATTAACAATCAATTATTATTTTCTTATCACTAAGTTAGTTTTATTAGTAGTTCCTGATATGGATACTGTTAAATTAAAAGCCTCCGTTTGTTTATATTTTAGGCATGTTCTATCCAGATTTTTTGATACCTACTTTTTTTGTTGTCTACATGTCTTTTTTTATAGCTATGAAAGTAAATGACGATAAAGTCCAGACTCAAAGATAGATGGTACAGCAGTTCTAAACTGCAACACTAACCATCCTCACCTTGCCAGCCTGCAGAAATGCTTCTTCACACCTCTCTTAAAGGAACCCAAATTATAGGAAGAGGGGGAATACATGCATGTCTTTTAGTTTTGCATTTAGTTGTTTGGTATGCATATAGCAGAATAAACGCGTTCAACAAGTACATTAGAGAAACTCCCTTTAACATCCACAGATAGAATGGATGAGTGATAAACTAACGCGGGCTTTCGAAGGCGCTCGCAGCAATCCGTTCGCGTTGCGTCATCTCCAACTATGTCACTCTGTAGCTGAGGTGACCAGAACTCCGGGCCCCAAGGTGGTGCTGGCTTCCTTTCCGGACCTGGAAGCTGGGTTTGCAAGAGATCTCTTCTTACAATGGGCTCCGCACCAGCAGAATTCTATTGTATTGACTGCTAGGTAAGATTTTTGTGGTACCTTGATCTTGGCTAGTCTTAGTCTTAGTAGTACGGCGGGCTGTTTCCGCAACTCGACACCTAGTGCCTATTTTGCGTGGGGATTGGCATCAGTCCTGCCATCCCAGCTCCTCCAGAAAGCTCAGCAGTCCCCGAATGTTGCTGCAGGCCTCTACTATTGTCTTCGGGCTTCCCATTAGAGAAGTCCTTTGTCTTGCAACGCCCCTGCACTCCAGTAGGACATGGGCGCTCGTCTCATCCGCCTCCAGGCAGGCTCTGCACAGAGGGCTGTCAGAAATACCTATATTACAAAGGTGTTTGTTAAAGTAGCCGTGACCCGTGAGTATACCCACGATTTGTTTCAGGGCTTGTCTAGGTAGTCTGATTAACTTACGTGTTAGCTGCAGGTTTACCTTAGGAACGGCTTCCCTGGCTTGCCTGCAGTCCGTGAGTTTTGACCAGTATTCGTCGTGTTGTCGTTGAGAGCGCTCCCTTATCCAGGTTCGCAGCTGCCGATAGGGTATGGGTATAATTGGCTCCGGACCAATGGCCGTCCTGCTAGACCCCTCCCTGGCTAAGCAGTCCGCCGCATCGTTACCCCTTGAGCCGCTGTGTCCTTTAATCCACTGTAGGGTCAATCTATTGTCGTTAGCAATATTAGTCAACTTACTGTGGCATTCGTAAATTAAGCCTGATGTCATTATATTGTTGTCCAGTGCCTGTAGGACAGAAGCGCTGTCAGAGAGGATACGAATGTGTTTACCTCTTACCCCGCGACATTCTATCGCCTCAGCAGCTCTGATGATGCCCACACACTCTGCCTGGAAGACCGTGTTATAGGCACCCAAAGCTGTCGACATGTGTATATTCAGGTCTTCGGAGAAGACACCCGAGCCCGTACCACAGTTGGTTTTTGAACCGTCTGTGTAGACCCTCAACTCCTTATGCAGACAACGGTCCGGGGTGTCTTCATAAAGTTGAATTTTGTATTTTTTGTCAAATACGTACGTCTTAGGAATAAGGTCGTTTACTGCTGCAAAGTACGGAAAGTGCCTGTGTATGTCTGCCAAGATGCTGGTGTGCGGGGAGTTGTTGTCTCTCCAATGCCCCAGCATGCTTAGGCGCGTGGCTGTACATGCAGCTTCCTGTTGTATAAACAAGTGGAGTGGTCTCACGTTAAGTATTGTCTCCAGTGCTGATGTGGGAGTGGTTTTCATGCAGCCGGTGATTGCACAGCATGCCCGCCTCTGGAGACGTCTTAACTTATTAATTGTCGTTACCTGGATTGTCTTGGTCCACCATACTACTGCTGCATAGCTGATGATGGGCCTAATTATGGTCGTGTATAGCCACTTAACAATGAGCGGTGATAGTCCCCAAGTTTTGCTAATCATTTTGCGACATTGCCAGAAAATGATGTTAGTCTTCGTTGTAGTTTTGTCTATGTGGGATCCCCAGTTCAGTTTGGAGTCTAGGGTTATTCCTAGATACTTTACCTCGTTGGAGAGCCTCAGTGTCGTGTTAAATAGTTTCGGTAGCCGATAGTCGCCTAATGATCTTTTATTCGTGAACATGACCAATTCCGTCTTCACTGGGTTCACCTTAAGGCCGTAGTCGTCACACCATTTTTCAACAACCCTCATTGCCCCCCGCATAACATCACAGGCGGTGCTCGCAAACTTACCTGGAATTATGATTGCAAGGTCGTCCGCGTAGCCCACCGTGTGGTAGTGAAGGTTGTTTAGTTTGGTAATTAAGTCGTTTACAACTACATTCCATAGCAGAGGCGACAGTACTCCTCCTTGAGGGCATCCTTTAGTTGCCAATGCTCTGAGATGGTTGTCGTCTTGTAGTCTGATTAGTCTGTTACGGAGCATGTTACTTACCCAGTATATAATGGTCTCATCGACTCCGTGTTTGCCAAGTGCGTCTACTATGCTGGCGAAGCTTGTTTTGTCAAACGCGCCTTCTATGTCTATAAAGGTGCCCAGACATAGCTCTTTCCGTCTGAGACTATCCTCTATTTTACTTACGACTGCATGTAGTGCAGATTCTGTCGACTTGCCTGGACTATAGGCGTGTTGGTTCGGATGTATTGGAACATTGACTAGTTGGTTGTCTCTCAGCTCTCTGTCGCACAGTCTTTCCAGGGTCTTTAGCAGAAATGATGAGAGACTTATTGGTCTGAAAGATTTCGCCTCGTTGTAGTCTGCCTTACCCGGTTTTGGTATGAAGATTACCTTGACCTCCCTCCAGAGCTTCGGGGTGTATCTAAATGCAAGACACGCTCGCAGGAGGGGCACCAGGATAAGGATTAGTGCTTCACCTGCCCATTGAAGCAGCGCCGGAAAGATGCCATCTGGTCCGGCTGCCTTGAATGGCTGGAAGCTGTTAATGGCCCACCTTAACTTATCTGTAGACACTGTCTTCAATGCAGTGTTCCAGGATTGTTCCGTGGGGGTCCAGCTAGTGTCATTCCAAGTATGTGTCGTGTGTATGATGCAGCCCGGAAAGTGGGTTTCAAGTAGTACCCTCTGTGCCTCCTCAGTTGTTTCTGTGAGGGAGCCATCAGCCTTCCGGAGCTGTGCTAGGTCTTGCTGCCTATCTTTAGATAGCAGTTTCCTTACCTTATTTGCCTTTGTGCATGAGTCTATATCTGAACAAAATTTTCTCCAAGACCCATTGCTCCAATGTCGGATGCGTCTCTTGTAAAGTGCCTTGGCATCTTTGTACGCATCCCAGTCCTGGTCGTCACATGTATTCATGGCCCTGTTAAAAAGTCTTCTTACCTTTTTCCTCAGTTTTTCCAGCTCGGGACCCCACCAAGACTGGCTGGCACCCGAGTTGGATGATGGTGTACTAAGAGGACAGGCTGTCTGATAGCTTGAGATTATAACTCTTGTTAATTCCTCAGCTGTTTCGTCTATCTTATAAGTTTCGTCTAAACTACCAGACTGCAGATGTCGCAGTGACCGAGTTACCTGTCTGCGATACTGGCTTCTGTTTGTTTTGCTAGGTATGCGTCTAGGTGGCTGGGTGACACGCTGTACCGCGATGTTGAACCTAATCCACCTATGGTCAGAGCAGGATGCCTCTGGGGAAACGTGCCAGTCAGAGATCAGATCCGCTGCTCTTCTTGATGCTAGTGTAAGGTCGATGATGGATCTGCCCCTTCTTGTTACGAAAGTAGGTTTAGATCCTGTGTTTATTATATTAAGGTTAGTGGTAAATAGATAATCTACTAATTCCTCACCTCGTTTGTTGCTTTTCGTCATACCCCACAATTGATGGTGGGCGTTGGAGTCGGTGCCGATGATCAGCGCCTTGTCTGTTTGTTCGCAGTGTCTCACCAGCTCAGCCAGTTCCCCTGACGGAGCTTCCTCTCCTTCAGGCATGTAGGCAGAGGCAACTACCAGGACAGGTACACTTGGATTTTGCTGTTGTATAATTTGGATTGTTGTTATGTCGCTAGAACAAAATTGTGTCATTATTTTTGCCTGTAGGTGTTTTGAACATACTATGCAGGTCCGCGGTGAGCGGTTACCTGGGTTGTAAAAATTCTTACCACCGGTGTTGTTGAGGCCACATATGATGTTGGATCTGATCCACGGCTCCTGGACCAGAGCAATAGCCCCGTCGTTGTTGTCCTCCAGCCACTTCCTGAGTTGAGCCGTTGCGGTGCGACTGTGCTGGAGGTTGGTCTGCAGGACTTTGACTTTACTCGGTGGAGGCGCCATCGGACGCAAGCAAAACATCGACATCCACCTCCTGCCCGATGTCGATTCCACCCAGTTTGTCTGCCCATTCGTCGATGACGTCCGCTGCTCCTTGCTCACCCAAAGTGGGATCCGCCGGAGACGGAGTCACTGTCACCTGCTTCTGGTCGGGCGTGGATGCTGCTATGCCCCCTGATGTGCTCGGCGACGGAGCAGATGTTGGTGGCTCTAAAGGCGGCAGGCTCTCCAGGTATTGACCGCCCTGGTTCCTGAACCTAACGTACACCGAACCCATCAGGTAGCACAGTCTCCTTCCTCTCTCCAGAAGCTTCTCTGCAACGTCCCTGGTGGTGCTGAACACCAGGAACGTGTTGTCATCACCTGCGATGGCCTTATGCAGTAACCATCGGTCGACGTCTGCTTGTTTATTCTGATAGCGCAGCAGCTTGGCTATCGTATGTGGTTCCCTCGTACCCGGGACAAGAAGACCACACACCACCTTCTTCGGCCTATCAATTTGGCGCTGCACCATCAGTTCATCGTCATACCCCGGGACCTTTAGGCCAGCTACGGTCTTTTTTACCCACTCCAGCGTGCGGGGAGTCTCACACCAGAGGCTGAGAGCTCCGTCTCCAATAATGGGCTTGCCCTTAAGGTTCGGGCCTTCGTCCGTTGAAGGTCCTGCCATAAGGAGTTCCTCAACAACGGCGTCCTCCAGAGCCTTAAGGACAAACCCAGCATGGGCAGCGCTGATGTGGCCTGTCTTTTTGCCCGTAATTACTACGAGCAAGTCGGCTGTAGCAGCATCCGCGAAGGATTTTTTGTCCGTTGTTCGACGCGGCCCCTCGGATCTTGGTTTTTTATATTGACCCCTCGGTGAGACCGTGTCGTCCAGTCTGGGCCTTTTCGAGGCCTCTTGTCTGTCCGTCTGTCCTTTGTCGGTTTGTCTGTCCGTCTGTCCTTTAGCTGTCGGTCTGTCTGTCTGTACCTTATCCTGGGTTCCTTGACCCGTAACAATCTGCTGGGCGGCCTTGCCAGCTGCTGTTTTGTTACGGGCCTTCCTAGCCCTCTGTCCGAGTCTGTGCCGGTCGGTTGTCGTTTTGTGTTTGTCATTGTTTGGATTCCCAGTCTTGTCCACTGCCTTCCGATTCTTACGTCGATAGGTAGCGACCTGCCAGGAGTCCAAGTCACCAGCCACGTCCTGTGGTTGTTGCCTGACACCGGGTTGCCCCTTCACCAAGGCTTCCAACGCACGGGACGTAGATGGTACGTCTAGGTCTAGGTCAGTGTTGGTCGGCCTGACACCGGGTTTCCCCTTCACCAGGTATACCGACTCTTTGTCTGTTATATTCGTCTGCCTGTCACCGGGTTTCCCCTTCACCAGGTCTCCAGACGATGTCATGTCCTTGTTGGTTTTTGTATGGGATCTGTTGGTTTCCATTACACGTGTCTCAAAAAAGTTCATCCTCACCAGTCCCACCCGCCACGGAGCCACAACTGGGATGCCGATATCAAAAATCAAGGCACCAGGATTGTGGTGAGGATATAGGGGCACAGGGTTTTCCTCACAGCGCGACATCGGGAACTGCAGCTGCATGGCTGGTAGTCGATCCCAACTACCAGTGGTTCCATGCAACCTTGCTCCTTCAGCATGGCCAGAGTCCATCGCTAGATGTTAAGAGCGACCCCCACACCCCTCGCCGGCGACCCATAGACGGTAGACGCCTTGACCGTTGCCTCGTGGTCGGCTACACCACGAAGTTACCGTCTCGCTGGAAATCCGGGCCAAAGTGCTGTGTTGCTTCCGGGGTGCCGCAGCTACCCTTTCCGCTCAAACACCAGGATCCCTTCATCTCTGCTTACGGCGATGCTGCGCAGGTTCTAGCGCAGGAGAGGCTGACGCACCACCAGGCCGCCTCCCTACTCCTGGTGGATGGGGGGGAAAGTCGTCTGACCATTTCAGTTACGTCTGTTTCATAGGGAATCAGACCAATAACGGGCGGCAACCACGTGAAGGAAAACAGCCAGGCTTGTCTGGGGGATCTACACGACATGCGCTCGCTCCCCAGACCATTCACCAAATTACCAGACGGGACGCAGAATGGTAAAATAGGTGATGTGTTAGGTTTAGCCGTCTTTGTGCTATATATAAACCTAACACATCCCCCGCCCAAATCTTGGCTAAAATTTCTACTTAGAAATAAATAATCCCATATATGACAAATGTCAAACCATAAAAAACCATATGTATAGTCATTGTGATTATCGCAAACGTTATGTTTAACGCACTAGTCCTTACTACTGATTTTAAGATGAAATTTTTTGTTGTAGTTTAATATTTTTTAAGGTTTCAAGAGTTAAATTTTTAGGTCCTCTAGAGAAAGAGTTCAGTTCAGAGTTTATGATAAACTTTTAAACTGTGTACAATTCTCGAATAACGACCCATGAAACTGAACTATTTTCAGGTTACTTGTTCACAAGACCGAGATGTTGGTTGTCGTCAACATATATACCCATTTAATACACTATACTTTATTATACATAGAAATTATATTTTATTTAATAGTTTAAGTAAACTCTTCTTTCCTTGCAATATCATTCAATTGCTTAATCTTGTCAAAGCTATCTTCTCACTCAAAAAAGTGATGGCTGAAAATCCGTGTTTTGATTTCTGCAGCACACATACATTTAAGGCTGATTTCTTTGATGTATCTTTTTTTATATTACTTAAACTTATATGCATGCTGTAGGAAATTATAAAGTTTTCATCTATTTCCAAATTAACTGCGGCTTAGCAATACACAGCTCGGAATTAACTCAATGTGTGTATTCAAATCGTAGAACATCCCCGGGCACATTGGCACGCGATCTAGTAGAGAAGGGCGGTGATCGCACCATAGAGCTGGTGATCAGGAAGCGGTTAAGGCTGGAAGGCGCCGAGCTGGAGGAATTCCTGCAGCAGCAGAAACAACGGGTTCATCATAATAATACTATCAAGTGAGTGCTTTATCTACTACTTGAGCTACCCTGCGATTGCACCCGCATTAACTCTTCAATTCCCATTGTCACTTGTAGGTGACGGAAGTTTATTATTTTTTTTTAATACTAGCAATGCATATTTTTTTATTTACTGCTACAGTAGTAACGCGTATGAGTGACACTGTTCATTATTTTTTTCTAGCAGCCGTAACTGAACGTCAACTCTTAAATTCATTCATTTTTTTCGCGCAACATTAGACCTGTCCTAGCCTGTGTGATTTCTTGAGATAAAAAGTGAAATAAGCATAGACCGTAAGTATTGTTATTTTTTCTTATTTCATGTAATGAACGAATTTGTTACTGGTATTAAAAATGTATTTTACAATGAAACTAGCTTATAGCATTTTTGGTATAACTGTGGATATGTGGTGTGTCACCTGTGGGTGAAACTGGGCATAATAATAACCATATATTGTTTGAATTCATACAAAGTAATTCCTACATATTATAGGCTTATTACTGTATGAATGTTTTGGAGGTCGAGGATGACCCAGGTGATATTATTTCATTTCCTCCTGAAGATGGTGCAGTGACTGATGTAAACAGTGGAGATGAAAATGAAGCTAGTACCCTTCATCTTCCCAATCGTATGCTTCGGTCTCATGTGGAACTACAAAATAGGTCTTCGAGCTCTGGAGAAAATCGTTCTTACGACCTGCAAAAAGGCGAAGATATGAACGTCGACGGCACCAAAGAAAAACCAAAAAAACCCAATGCTATAATAAAATGGTGTACCAATGTCAGCAATATTTCTTTTACTTCTTGCGGAAAAGGAGACTGTGACGAAGAAGTTTTTAGTAAATCTCAGAAGGAGATTTGTCCAGTGGAATGTTTTGAGTTGCTCTATGGTAAAGACAATGTTGATTTTATAGCTTATATGATTATCACAAAAGTGGATCGGATTCGATTTCTGGACAAAAAACTAACAACGAATCCAATTGATTGCCTTGCTATCATCAAGCTGTACAGCAAGTACATGGGTGGAGTAGACCATTTTAACGAATACGTTGACTCCATTAGAGTATATCTTCGTGATAAAAAGTGGTGGTTCCCTCTCTTTGCATTTGGCTTAGATGCAGCTTGGCAAAATGCATGGCTTATAAAAAGACAGTTTGAACACAAATGGACCTACTGCGATTTTCGACGTAATGTGGCTACTATATACCTGCAAAAATATGGTACATCTCCGAGCCGCAATTCAGCTTGTGCTGTCCCTATGCAGGGGAGAGTAACTTCCGAGGTGAGGAGTGCAGGAAGTGTGGACGATCAATAGAAAGTTGAGTGCTCCCAACGAAGATGCGCTTATTGGTTTTCATCTAAAATGTTGGTATAGCTTTCACAATAAAGAAGTTTTATATTTATATTATTCAGACTGTAACAATAAAAAACTTCGTATGTTCTTGTGAATTTTTATGTCACAACGCCCAGTGTCACCTATAGGTGACCCTCCCTAAAAAATAGAAGTACCTATTTGGACATGGGAATTGAAGAGTTAACTTGAGGAAAAAGGTCATTGTGGGTCACCCTTAAAAGATAGACTTATGCTATCGCGGGCTTTTTATAGCACTTTTAAAGTATGACTATTCCGTCATACATATTTTTTGTGTAACTTTTACCGGTTACGCAGCGTACGCAACTGAAGCTCACAGATGTAATATTTTGTTCCCGTTTTTGCAACATTCTTCATTGGTGCTCCGCCTCTATTGGCCCTAGTGCTATGTTATATAGCATATAACTTTCCTTTATACATGCTTTATCTAATACAAAAATAAATTTTCTAATCGGACCAGTAGTTCCTGAGATTAGCGCGTTCAATCAAACAAACTTTATCTTTATAATATTAGATAAGATTTGTTTGCTATTTGAACATAATTTAATGGCATTAACTGTCTAACCTTATTCAGAAACCCCTACCTTTGCTGGCTTTTTGCTGTTCAATCTTTGCATAGTGAAAAGTACATAAGAAAATCCTTTTTCATTGTGTATGAACATATTGATATACCCTATTCAGCAAACCCCTATTATCTTCGGGGTTTATCTAAATGTGACCGAATTTAATCCCACTTTCTTTAGCTTTGTACTTACATAATGAAAATCACGTATGAAATGTCCAATCGGTATTACTTTTACAAAATTCCCCTCCTTTTTATCGATGCGCTACTAGACAAAAGCAAGAATAACACGCTAGCCAGGTATGCCGTAAAACAATGACACTTAGCAAGACGCTTAAGACCGAATTGTTTCATCTACAGGTAAATTTGACTAGTTTAAATATTACAGAAAAAATAACCATTTGTCAAAAATTTTATATGTATTTGACGTGACATTAGCTAAAGTCAAATTTAACTATCGATGAAACAACGCGACCTAAGAGATGATGATAGCTGATTGTTTTTTTTTCGTATATTTTGAAGATTAATTTAAATTGTAGTAACAAGGTACTACATCAATTATAAAAACTTTATTACTGCACTATTTCTATATCCAAAACTTTTCCTGGATCCTATTACACCTTATAGGCTACCAGTTCAATGCCCACTTTAAGAATTTCAAGAAAGGCCGTTTAACAAGAATATCTTTAAATGTAACTCTATTTTTAAACTGGTTTAAAATGCGTTTTTTAATACTAAGTGGTGTGCGTAAAACTTTAAGGAACAAAATATAAGAATATCTTTGTTCAATGCTAGGGAGGAAACCACCGGCATCTCTTCTGATTCCGACTCTGACGGCGAGTTAGAGATGTGGGTGGTGACCGGCCGGCACGACATTCCGGTCCGGCACGACACGCGGCCGTCCGGCTGTTTCAAGTCCAACAAGCGGCATCACGCCATGTACCCGTTTCACGAGGACCGGAACCGGAATGACGACTACGGAGAGATCATCAAGGTAGGTACAACAGTCCCGTCCGGCAAGATTTGCGGCCGTCCGGCAACAAACAGCATCACGACATGTACCCTTTCCACGAGGACCGGAACCGGAGCGACAACTAAACTAAGGCTAAATGATTTTTTTATGTTAAAAGGATGTCAAAAAAGCATATGGCCTGAGATAGCCTATAGACGCTTGCTATACCAAAAATATCACTCGCACCGTTGCCTACCCTGACGCCATCCCTCGAACGGAGCTCTGTACCCTTAGCACGAACCAAAATCGAATTCGTAACGTTTGCAAGTCCAAAATGTCATTGTCAAATGTGTACTGATTTTTAGTTCACGTTACGCACTTTGTGGCACTACTGTGCAAGTTTCCATACAAAATTTGACATTGACATTTCGGTTTGCAAACTATTCGAATTCGATAATGATTCGGGCTAGGGGTACTGGAACCTTACTCATCGACAGAAACACAACACCACCAAAGGCAGTATTCTACTGTGATCATCTGTAAGGTAGAGGTTACTTCACCAGACGGACGCTTCAATTCTAATGGAAAATCCGCTTTGCCCTACCTCTTTAAAGTTCAGTACCCTTAGCACGAACCAATATCGAATTCGTAACGTTTGCGAGTCCGAAATGTCATTTTCAAATGTGTACTGATTTTTAGTTCTCGTTACGTACTTTGACGTTGCTGCTCCGTCGCGTCGTCAGAGTAGCATAGTTTTATATATAACCTGCAAGCAGGCGTACACCAAGCGTATAATGGCGAATACGATCTAAGGGTACGGCCAGAGTGCACTCAGATTCAGATTCCGAAAACAAGCGCGAGAAATAAACAGTGTAGTCTAAGCAGGTTGCCTGCTTTTTCTCGCGCTTTGTTTTCTGAGTCTGAATCAGGAGTGCACTCTGGCCGTACCCTTCGACTACACTGTTTATTTCTCGCGCTTGTTTTCGGAATCTGAATCTGAGTGCACTCTGGCCGTACCCTAAGACGATATGAGCACAGTGTCAAAATGCAAGATGCCACTGCTGAAAACATGCATAACACGTCATTTTTACTAAAACGAAGAAGGAGTACGAAGTGACGTCATGCGACATTTCAAATCAACATAATATCTCTGTAATGTTTTGAATATTTGAAAAAATAAAAAATACATGTCCAATTCTTTTTGATATTCTCCCTGACAGCCGATGAAAAAAAAGTTAGTCATGATCCCTACTCACATTTAAAGACACGGTTTTTTCTTGTTCCGATACCCTGTTACCTTTTCAGCCGGAAGATTACAGACTCGCTGAGATAGTGGATGCTGAAGGGGAGATCCGAGATGTGCCGCCCGCGCCGCCGCAGAAACAGGAACCGGAAGGTATCATCCATTTTATACTCGCGGAACGCTATGATGGCCGTTTTGATACATTACAATAGTAACGTGAAAAGTCAATTTGTTATCGAAAATCAATCTAATTTAGTCAAATGGGGGTTTCATCTAGATTTTATATCTTTTGAATTTTAACCAATATTGAAAAAAAACAATCCTAATCGAAAAAGCGATCCTATATGCAGCTATCATATTGATATTCCTTATACACTTCGAATTTCGTAAAATACAAATACCGAGTTATGTTGTGAATATAAGAAAATAGATAATAATAATAGAAATAAATTATTTAATTTACTTAATCTTCTCTGTGCTTCGGAAGGCACGTTAAGCCGTTGGTCCCGGCTGCATTTGCAGTCGATAGCACCCACCAGTCATGTCCGTATCTATTCCATCCATGGGGAAGGCCTGTGCCCCAGCAATGGGGACATTGATAGGCTGATAATGAAGGTCTACTTGCAGCAATTGACAAAAATTGGCTAAATCTCGATTTAACTAAATCTAGTTTTAACCCATACAATAATGTCAAATTCACATTGATATTCTGATTTGTTCTTAAAACTAGTGTTAATTAAATCGAGGTTTAACAAATTGGCTGCAAGCGGACCTTAGAAACGAAATGTTAAACTAATTCTTATATTTTCCGTATGTTCAGAGGAAATGACCGAAATACCGAGCAAATGCGTGACCTCAGTCCGGCAAGTGTCAATAAAGGCGAATATCCAATACATCGAGCTGGAAGGGCGGTGCGACGGCGAGTCGTTGCTGCGCGTCGTGGCGCAAGCGAAACCGCGCTCTATCGTCGGCCTGAGGGCGCCGGAGCCCGCGTTAATGGCGCTCAAGTAAGTCCTTGATTCACTCACAGGTTAGTAAGATTATGTCTCAGTCAGGGCTGCGTTCGGAACCTGCACTCCGGGTGCAACCAATGTCAATCTTTTGTATGTCATTTTCATGTACTCGCATTCTTGTATCCATGTCGCACTGTATTCATGAGTTAGTTTTCAGAGTTTATTGTGTTTATACGTAGGGCTTGAAGCACGGATGCACTGTCAAGTGCATGGAAGCTTTACTCTCTAACTAAGGTCGTTAAAACATGGTTCCAATATGGAAGCGTTACTCTCTAACAAAGGCCGCTAAAACATGGTTCCAATATGGAAGCGTTACTCTCTAACAAAGGCCGCTAAAACATGGTTCCAATATGGAAGCGTTACTCTCTAACAAAGGCCGCTAAAACATGGTTCCAATATGGAAGCGTTACTCTCTAACAAAGGCCGCTAAAACATGGTTCCAATATGGAAGCGTTACTCTCTAACAAAGGCCGCTAAAACATGGTTCCAATATGGAAGCGTTACTCTCTAACAAAGGCCGCCAAAACATGGTTCCAATATGGAAGCGTTACTCTCTAACAAAGGCCGCCAAAACATGGTTCCAATATGGAAGCGTTACTCACTAACAAAGGCCGCTAAAACATGGTTCCAATATGGAAGCGTTACTCACTAACAAAGGCCGCCAAAACATGGTTCCAATATGGAAGCGTTACTCACTAACAAAGGCCGCCAAAACATGGTTCCAATATGGAAGCGTTACTCTAACAAAGGCCGCTAAAACATAGTTCCAATATGGAAGCGTTACTCTCTAACAAAGGCCGCTAAAACATGGTTCCAATATGGGAGCGTTACTCTCTAACAAAGGCCGCTAAAACATGGTTCCAATATGGAAGCGTTACTCTCTAACAAAGGCCGCTAAAACATGGTTCCAATATGGAAGCGTTACTCTCTAACAAAGGCCGCTAAAACATGGTTCCAATATGGAAGCGTTACTCTCTAACAAAGGCCGCTAAAACATGGTTCCAATATGGAAGCGTTACTCTCTAACAAAGGCCGCCAAAACATGGTTCCAATATGGAAGCGTTACTCTCTAACAAAGGCCGCTAAAACATGGTTCCAATATGGAAGCGTTACTCACTAACAAAGGCCGCTAAAACATGGTTCCAATATGGAATCGTTACTCACTAACAAAGGCCGCCAAAACATGGTTCCAATATGGAAGCGTTACTCACTAACAAAGGCCGCCGAAACATGGTTCCAATATGGAAGCGTTATTCTAACAAAGGCCGCTAAAACATAGTTCCAATATGGAAGCGTTACTCTCTAACAAAGGCCGCTAAAACATGGTTCCAATATGGGAGCGTTACTCTCTAACAAAGGCCGCTAAAACATGGTTCCAATATGGGAGCGTTACTGTCTAACAAAGGCCGCCAAAACATGGTTCCAATATGGAAGCGTTACTCACTAACAAAGGCCGCCAAAACATGGTTCCAATATGGAAGCGTTACTCTCTAACAAAGGCCGCTAAAACATGGTTCCAATATGGGAGCGTTACTCTCTAACAAAGGCCGCCAAAACATGGTTCCAATATGGAAGCGTTACTCTCTAACAAAGGCCGCCAAAACATGGTTCCAATATGGAAGCGTTACTCACTAACAAAGGCCGCCAAAACATGGTTCCAATATGGAAGCGTTACTCACTAACAAAGGCCGCCAAAACATGGTTCCAATATGGAAGCGTTACTCTCTAACAAAGGCCGCTAAAACATGGTTCCAATATGGGAGCGTTACTCTCTAACAAAGGCCGCCAAAACATGGTTCCAATATGGAAGCGTTACTCTCTAACAAAGGCCGCTAAAACATGGTTCCAATATGGAAGCGTTACTCACTAACAAAGGCCTTTTAAACATGGTTCCAATATGAAAGCGTTACTCTAACAAAGGCCGCTAAAACATAGTTCCAATATGGAAGCGTTACTCTCTAACAAAGGCCGCTAAAACATGGTTCCAATATGGAGCGTTACTCTCTAACAAAGGCCGCTAAAACATGGTTCGAATATGGGAGCGTTGCTATCTAACAAAGGCCGCTAAAACATGGTTCCAATATGGGAGCATCGCTATCTAACAAAGGCCGCTAAAACATGGTTACAATATGGAAGCATTATGCATTACTCTGTAACAAAAGCCGCTAGAACTCAGACTACCAAGTGTCAATTGAGCCGAATATCCAATACATCGAGTTCATATCGTAGATGTATCTGACACCTTATTATTAAAATTTAACACTTATACAAGACAAATATACACCCAGGCAAACTTCTTGAGCAACGATCATAGACAAGGAAGCGCGCGCCGTAGCACATGCAGAAACGTTTACTGCGCAATTTTATTTGTCTCTGGTTCTGCTCAGAAACTTTGTCGCTTCCTATACCTTGACTTTTGCACCATTGTCAACCTAAGGCACAGGACACACAGCTCTCATCAAAAAAGTTTCAACATGCATCATTTAATGAAACTGCAAGTTTTAGCAGTTGATATTTTATATTGTCGTTATCAAATGTATAATTTATTCGAAGTTTTTTTTAATGTAGTCCCTTATAACTCAATTTGGTTATTATTAACAAAGGTATAGTATTAAAAATATTTAAAATCGGTCAAAAGTTGTTCATGTTGCTTAGACTGTTTTAATATTATCTTTAGTATATTATTATGTCCTTCTCATTCAAAATATAAAGAAGAATGTCCAATATTTTGCGTCGCGACGCTTCTATACATTTTGTACGAAAAGGACGCGGAAATTACGTCTTTTCTGTATTTCCCAAAGAAAAGATCCACGTCTAAAATATATGCTTCCATTGAATTGCAGAAAATATTGTGAGGCTGAGAATATAGAGAACATATTTATTCCAAACAAGGGGGACATTATTGATGCCACCACAGAATCTCACATATACCAGGTAAGTCTACGTTTACATATATATTTGGACATTATTTTACATAAACAGTGCTTTTATTGCCTAAAAGTAAGAGTGGTATTCATAGAGCTTTTTTATATTACACTTCCTTCATCTGGTGATGTTAAAGGTCTTAGCTCACTTACACGATTCTGTTCCAACACCGCTCCCACCCAACACTGTTAACTTAAGGTGACTGCTCGCAGTCCACGCAGCGACAGCAAGATGTCAGTGAATTGCCGACAGCAAGATGTCAGTGAATTGCTTGATAGACGATTTATAGACTCATTTACACATAATGGGGAGGTATTTTCTGAGCAAGAGGCTGTTGAAGCGTTTGCTCGGTATTTTGGTACAGTGTTTCTGGATGAAATGCCACGTTTAGATACTGACGAAGCTGCACGAAAGGCTCGATCAATAGCCGGCGCGAAATTAATATCTATCTCGACCATAGATAAAGAAGACCTAGATAAAGCCGTGAAGCGCCTTAAGTTTCGATCATCAGGCGGACCTGATGGTATCCCGATATTCCTGGTCAAAGATTGCATTTCAATCTTCAGAACCCCGTTATTGTACATGTACAATCTTTCACTAAGTCAGGCTAAATATCCAGATTTATGGAAGCTCTCTAGGGTGACACCAATTCCAAAAGGAGAACCCGGTTCTAATATTGCAGCCTATAGACCAATAGCCGTACTATCCGTTTTTGCCAAACTATTCGCGGCAATAATTAACCATCACATAAGTCGGCAGATAGGTGATCAATTACACGAGTGTCAGCACGGCTTTCGAAAAGGGCGATCGACTACCACTAATTTGATACCCCTGGTAGATTACGTCTCTGGGGAAATGGACGCTGGGCGGCAAGTTGATGCGGCCTATTTTGACTACAAAAAAGCTTTTGACCTTGTAGATAATGATAAATTATTAATAAAGCTATCGGAAATAGGTTTTACTCCCTCACTACTGCATTTTTTTGCAAGCTACCTCAAAGATAGATGTCAGTATGTTAGGTTGAACGGATACGAATCTAAACACTTCTTTACGAGGTCTGGGGTGAGTCAAGGTAGCACGTTAGGACCTACCCTCTTTCAAATCATGATAAATGACTTGCCTAAAGTATTGTCTTTCACAAAATGTTTGTTATTTGCTGACGATTTAAAAATATATAGGTGTATAAGTAGTAAAGGGGATTCGGATGCCATGCAGAGGGGTATTGACGCTGTAGTAGCGTGGAGTGATTCGAATCGGTTGACATTCAATAGCAACAAATGCAAGACAATAACTTTTACGCGGAAGCGGTCCTGTATTGAAAGTATTTATAAAATATATGACGCTCCTTTGGAAAGAGTTGACAAAATAAGAGACTTAGGCTTAACATTAGATACTAAGATGGACTTTCACCAACACGTGATAAACGTATGCAAATCGGCGAGTAGGATCCTTGGATTCATTATCAGAACTTCCTCCGAATTTAGTAGTTCTTTAGTGGCTAGAGTATTATACAATGCCTACGTGCGTAGTAAATTGGAATATGGGGCAGTAATTTGGGACACCCACGAAAAAAAATATTGCCTCATGATAGAAAAGATACAACGAAAATATGCTCGATGGTTGTATAAGAAAAACTATGGATATTATCCATTCTTGTATCCATCAACTTTTGTCTACGGTATGGTCGACCTAGAAGCACTGGATATGAGACGGAAATTGCTCCTCATTGTACACTTTTTATCAATTATTTACCAAAAGATTGATTCCCCACACGTGCTAGAAAGAGTACGTCTTTTGGTACCCACTCGCATCCCGCGTGATGCCGAGGGTTTATTGGAGCCGCGCCGGCGGCCGCGCTTGCTGGAGAGGCCTGGCACCCGAACCGTCCACGCTGCCCAAGCGCCCACAGTACGTGCATTGCGCCTTGGGACATGCTCGCTCAATACGATCACTTAGACTTGTTTGCTGACGGTCTAGGGAGATTAATTACCAGGACTCGCCAGATTTTAGATTCTGGGTTTTAATCAGTAATTTGACATTTGACATTCAAAATAATGTTTTTGGTCGGTCTTGTTTATTTTCTAGTTTATTTTAATTTGTAATTTATTAATTGTTTTCACGTTTTTTTTTAATTGTATCTTATTGACATTTTTGATTCTGTAACTTTGTTGACTTTGATGTATGTTTATTTTTAATTTTGACTTTTAATTGTGATTCCACTTTAGACTATTTTTATATAATGAATGTTTTTGTTTTGCATTGCATTGACTTGTTGGTGTGTTGGACTAGCTCTGTAAACCAGCATGTGAAACTGAATAAATAAATAAATAGATAATGCTAGAATGGCCTACTAGCAGTAAACGCGTGGACAGCGCGCAAACCGCTCGCTTGCAACGCGTCATCAACTACCGAGCGCTCTGACGGCGGTTAGCTCGCTGTCAGTGAGTGACATCTAATTGATTGCCCTCATGAAGTGCATCTACAGAGCAATATTGAAAGTCTGTTTTTGAATTGTATTCTTTTTGCTGGTAGAAGCGGAGTACTGTAAGTGGGTTAAGACTAAAGGTCTGACTGAGCAACACAGAACACAGAAAGTATTTAAAATAGATTTCAATAAATCAAATTGGATAAAGTATATAGGTCATTTGTAAACCAATATCTGCTATGTGCAAAAGATATATGTAACTTTAAACATCAGTTTTATAGTCAATTTGATAATATTCCGACTGACGCTCAAAGTATATTTTAAGCCACTTCTGTTAACTGTTATAATGCCAAGATTCGCATTGCAGTTTTTGTACTTATTCAAAATTTCGGTTAGAAGTCATAATAATAAATACGTCGAAATCTTCAAAAATTGCACATACCCTAGATATTGTTTTAAAACGACGTCGATAAATCAACATTCCAATAAGTTTAGGCACAAACAAAATATATTTGTTACAGGTGAAGCTGACAGACGCGCTGATGAGCGGGTTGGTGTGGCGGCCATGTGGCGACGCGGAGCTGGCGTGGCTGTCGGCCGCGTGCTGCCCGCGCGCCATGCGCCCGCTGCCCGGTATGTATGTAAGAGTGTGTGTGTATGGTGGTGGGGCAGGTGAGCTGAGAGACGCGCTGATGAGCGGGTTGGTGTGGCGGCCATGTGGCGACGCGGAGCTGGCGTGGCTGTCGGCCGCGTGCTGCCCGCGCGCCATGCGCCCGCTGCCCGGTATGTATGTAAGAGTGTGTGTGTATGGTGGTGGGGCAGGTGAGCTGAGAGACGCGCTGATGAGCGGGTTGGTGTGGCGGCCATGTGGCGACGCGGAGCTGGCGTGGCTGTCGGCCGCGTGCTGCCCGCGCGCCATGCGCCCGCTGCCCGGTATGTATGTAAGAGTGTGTGTGTATGGTGGTGGGGCAGGTGAGCTGAGAGACGCGCTGATGAGCGGGTTGGTGTGGCGGCCATGTGGCGACGCGGAGCTGGCGTGGCTGTCGGCCGCGTGCTGCCCGCGCGCCATGCGCCCGCTGCCCGGTATGTATGTAAGAGTGTGTGTGTATGGTGGTGGGGCAGGTGAGCTGAGAGACGCGCTGATGAGCGGGTTGGTGTGGCGGCCATGTGGCGACGCGGAGCTGGCGTGGCTGTCGGCCGCGTGCTGCCCGCGCGCCATGCGCCCGCTGCCCGGTATGTATGTAAGAGTGTGTGTGTATGGTGGTGGGGCAGGTGAGCTGAGAGACGCGCTGATGAGCGGGTTGGTGTGGCGGCCATGTTGCGACGCAGAGCTGGCGTGGCTGTCGGCCGCGTGCTACCCGCGCGCCATGCGCCCGCTGCCCGATATGTACGTGTGTGTGTATAGTGGTGGAGCAGGTGAGCTGACAGACCCGCTGATGAGCGGGCTGGTGTGCGTCTGTCTATCTGTTCAGGGCGCAACGAATGATACAGCGGCTGACAGCAATTATAAGACTTTATTAACAATCTACATGAGCTAGCATATTATGGGGAATAGATGAGTGTGTGCAAATGTCGATATATGTATGACGACCTCTTTGGCCGAGTGGTTTATACGCTGGGGTTTAAGGTGTCGCCTACTCGAGAGGTCGCGGGTTCGAATCCCGGTGGGGGGGGCAAATGTTTGTGTGATGAATACGAGCATTTGTACTCCAGTCAGTAGAATGCTTGCCCAAAACCGCTTATTTAGTTAAAAAATCAATAAAATTTTGTCATGTACCGCACATAAAAAGAAGACTATTATAGTATTTGCCAATGAATAATTTTGTGTTTGTTATTTTTCATCAAACTCCAATAATATAAATAACTGAAAAATTAATTCATATTATTTACAGACGACGAGTCTACATCAGACGTTTTAATGTCCCTGGAACCGGCAGAAGGCACCGCTCATACGGCTTCCTTCATTAACACCGTGAAATTGTCGGAACTGAGGACGGCCATCGCTAAAATAGGACTCAATACTGAGTTCTCGGGCGGAGCTCTGGAATGCTGTAACGGGACTATAGCCATTAGGAGGGTAAGATAACTGTAATGGTCGAAACAGACTTATAGAAACGCGACGCAACGCCATGCGTGTTGAGTCAAATCGAAATGTACTATTTTCTATGATCAGAATCACATTAGGAAGATCCGACGCGACGCAATGCGCCATAGAAAATACTCGTGGCGTCGCATTTCATAAGTCTGTTTCTGCCATCATCCCTATGGATGGAATTGGGAGATTGGGTCATCGTGTCTTTTGAAGCACGGAAGAGCTCGAGATAGTAAGTTTTTGGTCACCCATTCTATGACCGACCACTGCGAAAGTTGCTTAACTTTAACGATCGCAGTTGCTTCCTTAATCAATAATATTATAGGAAAGCCAAAGAGGAAGATCTGCCACCGAGCTGGAAGATGGTTGCTCGAGGGCCGCGGCCCGACTGATGTTCCTCGGAAGGTCGGACATTGTATACACACATTAAAAAAAGATTGAGATCAATTGCAAAAGCTGATATATTTTCCAACTTTAACTTATTCAAGAGAAAATGTTTACGGTATATTTTTTTTTTATTTTAAAATACACTTTCTGAAATTAAGAAATAATTTTATTATAAACTGATTTTATTTTTTACTTTAAAAAATTAATAATTCAATCCTTAGGCGATTGTAATAGAACTTTGATAGAAATAAAAAGATAGTTTAACCAAACTTAAAAACCTTTTATTAATAAATTGTTGTTTATCTAATACAAAATAACTCCTCCTCTGGATCGAACACATGCGGAGATCCTACTGGGCGTGCTGAGGATCAAGTTATCCAGCATTTCTAGTGATAACCTGTCCCATTCTTGAACAGCAGCTTCCCTGAGCTGCGGCACTGTCTGGGATGGTGGCTACCGGTTCCAAACAGCTCGCCGGTTCCAACACAGAACAATCTATTTTTCAAAGAGATCGCAAACTTTTTTTCATGTGTATGTAAAGAGTTAGTTCTGAAAATTTCTATTGCGCAATGTAGGCTTCCATTCTTTATATATATATGGGGCGTTTAGACATCACCCGACTATAGCTATCAGGAGGGTAAGATAACTATAATCACTTTAAATAAAAATGATTTTTTCAATATCTTAGCGCAGAACTCGATAACACGGAATGTTTTTATACAGAGAAAAAAAAATTAAAATGGCGTCGAATATCATTTCAGTATTTGTTACTCAATCATGCGTAACCGGCTGAACGGATTTGCATGAAATTTGACACACATTTTTCTTACCTAGACTGCGACACAGGATATTTTTTATCCCAAATAAATGTTAGTTTTTTGGGGGATTCTCAAAAAACTAAAGTTATTGCAAACGAAGTCGCGGGCGGCTGCTGGTCAATAATATAAATACCCGCTCACACGGCGTCTTTCATTAACTGGAGCTGAAGACGGCCATCGCTAAAATAGGGCTCAATACGGAGTTCTCAGGCGGCGCTCTGGAATGCTGTAACCTCCGGACCTCTAGTTATTAATATACATAATATCGAAACCGAATATGCATATTGGTTTCGATAATAATTACCCAAATGTTCTCCTTTTCTTTATACATTGAACAAGGTTTCACTTTATATAGGTACATAGTTTGTAGTGCCCGTTACTCGATATATCGATATCCTTAAAATCTTGTAGTTTTCTAGACCGGCTGACTAACGAATCGTATGAACAATTCAGTAATAAACAATGGTGTCGATACTGGCGAGATTCCCTAAACCTAAAATTAAATTTGACAACAGTATATTATCCTTGTCGTTGTTTATACAGAATGAAAAAGAGAGACTGATATATAAAATTTTGTTTTTAGGTTGAGAATCTATCGAGACGTTGAACAGTTTTGTCTGTTTGCTGTGTGTTATATTTGGATAAGAATATTTTTGAAACTGGTTTGATCTATTGATTTTTTTAAACATTATCTCTTCTCTTTATGACATTAAGACTCCTGAGACCCACTTGCAGCTTGAGTCAATTTGGCGTTATTGTGATCCGAAACATCATAAAATCATAAATAATGAAAAAAAAACAGAAGAAAGAAACTGGTTTTTTTTAATGTAATATTTATTTATTTCAGTTGGAAAATGGCAGAGTAGCACTGGAAGGAGTCCTCTCCGAAGAGTATTACAAGGTGCGCGAGCTACTATACGACCAATTCGCTATCGTGTAGTATAATACAACGCACCTGACTGAATAACTGATAATTATGTAAATAAATATTTTTTTAAGGATACAACCTTTGTTATTTTTCACTTATCTTATCTTCTATATATATATCTTATTTCTCACTTATTTATTTATTAATCATACTCCTTTTTTATCCCTCAGAAAAACGCCTTACTGTTTTCCGTAATTCTAAAGGATTCAATCAATCTGATAGTAACAAGTTACTCAATAATAACTGACCGCAACCCGCCATGCGGGCCCAGTGTGGATTAGTGGGTGCTAACGACTGCAGATACAGGCCGAGATCCAACAGCTTTACGTGCCTTCTGAAGCACGGAGGAGCCTACCAACCCATCCAATGACCAGCCATTACGAAAGTCGAAAAAAGTATTTACTTTGATGCCATTATAATATGTGCATGTCGGTTACCTCTTCACGCTTAAACCACTGAACCGATTTAGATAAAATTTGGTATAGAGATTCGAGTCCCGGGAAAGGGCATGGGAAAGTTTTTATCCAAGAAATCATCTTATATTAAAGGGAGGTCAAAGTATACATGGGAAACCAAGTATCAAAGATTGGATATAAGAATTAAAAAAAACATGAATAAACTAGACGCCCAATCACGAACTTTGACAGCTCCGTAATATTGCATCGTCAAAGTTCCTAAGAAAGCTAATCAGCGCCCCTAGCATACGTAAAAAAAACTTTCTCTTTCGATACAAAATTTTGACGTTAACGATACGATTACGGATATGACAAAGTTCGTGCTTGGACCCCAGATTCAGATCCATTTAATACCAGGGATTCTGCTAAGATCAAGGGAGGCATTGGGATCACCGGCGGTCACCGCAGACCACAGAATCTTCGAGGACTGCTCCTGGTCCACCAGTCCCTTTGGCAGCATCGCACGTTAGTCAGTGTGATTTATGTTACTTCGGCGCACAGTGGTGGTAGTAGTGCTTTAATTCTCGGCATACAAGAAATTCAGGACGGATTAAAATATTTTTTGTGGTTTGTTTTCTTCCATAAGTACATAAGCTGGTGCAACGGCACTCGGCACAGGTAACCAATGAGCGGGTGTTCATTGGTTGCCTATTCAGACCCGAGTAAAATGCACTTAAAAAAATCCTATGCCCTTTCCCGGGACTCAAACTATGTCTATACCAAATTTATCTAAACTGCTTCAGTGGATGAAGAGTGAAGAGGTAACCGACCAGACCTGACGACTCCCCGAACGTCTTTCGAGAGTTGTCGTCGTGCTAGCATTCGCGCAACGGCGCCGCGTCGCCGGCTTGCATCTTTCTTGTTCGCAAACAAACGTTGAATACAGCGCCTGAACACGTTGTCGTGATACAACGCAGCACCGTACCATGTAGCCGTTCAACACAGCACGGCACCGTACGATTCCGTTTCATTTCACGTTACGCCGTGGTCACGTGGCCATGATCTATGCCCGGGGTTCAGCAGTCGACCAGCGTGGCATCGCTGCGGCCCAACGGCCGCAGCGATGCCAACGCACAATGAGGAGGCTCGAAAGATGCCTGTGTGAGGAATCTGTCTTTCGCGTAGATTTTTTGCACATTACAGAGGTTTAAGTGAGATAGTGTAAGTCAGGGACCTACCTAGTGACAGCGAAATTGTTCAAAATCCTGTGACATTTAGTTAGCCTGTCCAGAAAACTACTAGATTTTGAGTATTATGTAGATAGTAGTACTGTAGGTACTTATGTTCAAATGCAATATAGCAAGAGAAAAATTCAGTAACTATGGATTTTCTTTTCTAGTAAGCCCAGCTAGGAATTCATTAACTCATCTGGCTCCTTGATATGTGCAAGTGAAAGATCTCTACATTATTTGTCCATCTCAACGGTTTTTTTCCTTAAGTCGAATGTAAAATCTTAAAAATATCATGGTTGCGCTGCTAGGGTCATGATAACGTTGACACTTAAATTTATAACAAGTGATTTTCGATAACACAAACAGAAACAATAAAAGCCAATAGTCACCATTAAATGATTTATTTCGTTTTCCAGACCAGGTCACAATTAATAACATTATGTAAATAAACAAGGTACGAGTCATTACAAATAAGACACAGGTATTGTTGGTTTCTCTTCCAAACATTTGATCTGAGTTGACTTTAAAAAAATCGTTTTCTTAATTTACTATAATAATTATATCCAGTCATAATTTTCTTAACTCTACAGTGTCAATGGTGTAAATAAAACACAATTTACATCGTGTGAATAAAAAGGAATTTCAATAGGTGCCACATTATCAGCTGCTCTACCCACACCTGTCCCTTTTTATTCAAACTACTGTGTTATCAATAACGACACTCTCAACTACAATAATCGCAGATCAATAACGAATCAACTTAATCACTAAAATCTGGCACATCTCCTTACCTTACCATACCCTGAGACTACATCCATGCGTAAACGTAAAACTATAAATAAATTTAATATTCTTAACATAAGAATAACTACAACAAACCAAAAGTTACATAAAAGACTGGAATTAAGAACGACATCGTTCCGTCGTACAGACTGCAACACATCAAGTAAAAAAAAAAGTGAAAGATTAATTTATCAATCAGATTTGAATCTTATTTGAAGCTTTTAGCTCAAAGACAGTTACATGAATTTACCAGTTTTGTGCAACCTAACCTGTAGCTGTCCGTACAAGTTTCGACCACATAAATTTTTAAATAACAACAATCACAAATTCTACCCATAGTTCTACTTTCGTTATAAAGAATAGTTCAAAACTTTGTTAAAGTTACGAGTACAATTAATATAAAAAAGCTGTTGTACATATTCCTATTTTTTTTTAATGCTGGTTGTAAAGAACTTAAAAAAAGTTTAGGCTTTAATCCCTAGAGAACCACAAAGAAAATAACAAAGGTGCAAGTATATAAAACCAAGCACTTGCAATTTCAGGTCAATAGGCTAGTTGATACTTTTTGGAAATATGTTTTAAATGGTTTGTAATTGTTCTATTAGACCGAAAAAATATGAATAGATTTTTTTTTTACCTAGAAAGCTACAAAACTTTAACTTTAAATAGATTTTTCATGGACATACAAAAACGCTGTCAGCCATTGTAGTCTATAGATTATCTATGCTATGACGTCAAAAAAATTGTGAACACTCGCAAGCACGTAGGAAATAACCAATCAGAATTTATGATGATTTCTAATATATTTCATGATAAAAATGGTAATTATCATGATTGTATTATACAAGAATGTAGAAACACATCGTTAAAGACTCCAGAAAAGTTATGGTTTAAATTGCCTAGAGAAATACACATACCCTACACATGAACACACGTTTAAAACTTGCTAAAGCCTGTAACTTTATCGTCTGAAAGTCATTTCAAGTGCAAAGATCACTTAGATGTAAGTACACATTGAATAATAAATAAAGTTTAAAAAAATATTTTTTAATGAATGTACCTACTAAGTCAAAGAGTTTAGTTGTTTCTGCTTTCACAAATTTGGCGTCCAGCATTAATTTAGTCAACAAAACCAATAAACGGAAATTTTCTACAAGATATAAGAGTTTTTAGATACATTTTAGTCCGACGAAAGAAACCACAGTAACACGACAATGACGTTTAGTTGTTAACAAATTTTGTGACGTTACAATCACGGTGGACAGCGTTTTTAGTGTTTAAAACGTATAGACTAAAATCAAATTTTCCAAATTAAATTACTAAAGCCATCTTCTAATTTCACGTAGTGCAATCGATGTATTTAGGTTCCTTATACCAAAAATTATAAGAAATAAACATTTGTATAGTGCAATTTGACATGAGTCAACTAGCCTATTTGTAATTGAATAAATCAAATCTATCATACTATGTAACATGTTTTTTTTTACATTACAATAATTTATTACAAAAGACTTCGTTTGACTTCAATAATCACTTACACTTGTATAATGTTAGACAAAACTACACGTCACAAGTAACTTACTTTGCACTGTATTGCATTGTGATAAGGCTTATACACGCGTGATGTGTGGTCAGCACTATAATATAATAAATATCATTATATTTCAATTCTGTGATTGGTAACAGATTATTGAGGTATTTGTCTTATTAAAAAAATGTTTTTCTATTTCTCAGACACCTAATTACATTATTTATACACAGTTACAGTCAAGATTTATATATATTTATTTATATGTATACATATGTATAACATTATTGTACAATTATACATCACAATGGCATTAACCCAAAATATCGCTATATCACTACTACAAGCCATAAAATATAATAAATCAATGGAAATATAATGCTTTTTCTAATAAATTAATTATCTTTAACTGTGTAATAACTGGTGTTAATACATATTGACATGCGTTTTCAACTGGAAGACCAACTGTAAATTTTCGAATTATTTATTAATAAAATATTTACATATCGCAGAAAATAAATGTCACCCTTTTAAATTGCAACTTATTTCATTGATAAGTGTCTTGAATATTATATTTATGTAAATTGTATATTTGATACTTTTTCCCAGAATTTGCACTGTCACTAGAACACTCAATACGAGTTTATACAGTTTTATAAATTTGAAAAGGTATAGCAAAATGCAGTCTATTTATAACTTTGTACTCAAGCCATTAATCTTGAAAAACTAATTGTGAATTTTTTTTGCAAAACTTGCTGGTATAACTTAACAAATTGTGTTTTTAAGATATGAAGCGCCATCTTAGGGAAGATGCAGTGTTTTAGGATAGCTTCATGATCTTATTTTATAGATACTTTCTAAAGCAATTTTTTATTGAATAAAAATTCCACCCAGCATAGAAGGGACGTACGCACACGAATTTCAGTATATTTAAATAAGTGCTTTGAATGTATGTTTAAATTTGGTGTTCTTCAAAGTATGGAAATAATAAAGTAAATCACTTTCAAAAACCTTATTTAAAGCGTGGACATTTAAATTGCAGTGAAGTGCCTTTTGCTTATATTTTGGTTCTTTTTTCAGAGCAACTTTGAAGATCTTTACAAAATCGTAAAAATACCAAAATCTTATAAGTTAAACTTTAATTCAGTACCTTTTTATCCCAAAAGAATATGTTACATTATATATATTTAAAAAAACAGTTTTAATAACGATTGGATTTCTAATATCGAAGAAATTGGTGGTCTGCTAAATTTTAGGGAATATCGGCATAAACGCAATTTCAATAATGTAAGGAAAGTATATCAAGGACTGTGATTTAGCTCAAAAAATTTTCGCCTTAAGTGCATGACTGCCAATTTCTTCAAATGTACACAATAGGGTATTTTCAAAATTTTTGAAAACTGCTTATATTTAAAGTTTGAGACAAACGATTTAACAGAAAATAAAAATAAATAAATTAAAGTCTTTTTTTCTCCATTAAACCAATTAAAGTTGAATTTATTTTTAATGGTTTTGAATTTACCGCCAAAACGCTCGGTTCGATGATGTCTACTGTGTGACGTCAATTTTGTGTAAAGAATTTTAACACCTATGTAGTCTGAGGACGATCTGTGATTTATAAGTATACTATAAATTTATCCCGAACGTAAAAAAAGTTAATAATTTGACCTTCAGTTGATTACATAGCATACACAAAGTTGACGTCACACAGTAGACGGCATCGCACCGAGCGTCGTGGCAGGAAATTCAAAACCATTAAAAATAAATTCAACTTTAATTGGTTTAATGGAGAAAGAAGGGCATTAATTTATTTAATATATTTTTCTGTTAATCCGTTTGTCCCAATCTATAAATATATGCAGTTTTCAAAAATTTTGAAATTACCCTATTGTATCTAAAATCCATTATTTTACATCGCCTATGGGTTCTACGATTCACGGTTTAGTTAACACACATCTTGGACTTTTTAACACAGTGATAGGGTACTACATACACCTATATAGATTATCTTCTTAACAATTCCATTCTATCCCTCAATTTTATAAACATTAAAAAACGAATATAATAATATCTAAGAACAATACTTCAAAATCGATTGACAATAGTCAAAGTGTGCAGTCTAAAACCTACTTGCGGATCAACACAAAGTACATTTCTCTTCGACTATACTTAATCTCTTAGAGCACAGTAAAACTATATATATATTTAATTATATCATACAAAAATAGTAACAAGTTTTGTACTAAATACGTCCATTGTTTTGTACATTGACGGCGCGGGGACGCGACACTGGGAACGAAGCTAAGGAGAACATTACAAACAGCCACTCACAGCCATAAATCTATACACTAAAGAGTTCACCAAATAAATAACTCATTAATATTTACATTCGAACCGAACTTCCTACCACACTTAAATGCATTATATGCTAAAAAATCAAACAATAAGTTTTCACTTGATATGTCACTGGTGATGTATCAGTTTTTTTTTAATAAAAAGAAATAAGAATAGGGGTGTATTCTGAAATATACACCGGTACGCTAGCCAGCGGTGACGACGTCATGAATCGACGCCATGCTGTTGATTCGTTCCAAATACACTGATCAGCGTGGTAACGTCATGAACTGGCGCTATATTCAAGCAATCTCATGTTTGTGTGCAACATTCATGCTACAAAAATTATAATAAATTTTAACTGATTATTTGAAAACTATTACGACAAATTTATATAATTACGTCACAGATTCTTAACAGCAGAATATGGCGGCACACCAGTGCAATATAGCGTCGAAATCATGACGTCATTACCGCTGGCCAGGGTACTAGTGTATATTTCGGAATACAACGTAACATAACAAGAAGCGGTCGCGACCCTGCACCTTTTTTGTAAAAGGGAAAATTAAAGGAATCAACACGGCCACCGCACAACCCACTATTATTCTCACTGTTGAAGGTACACTATAGCGTTCAAGGTACAAGTCCGGACGTCCACGGATGTACAATAGGGTACACAGGTACACCGTTTACACGTTTCGCTCACATAGAAGGTACACTATAGCGTTAAAGGTACATGTCCGCACGTCCACGAATGTACAATAGCATACACAGGTACACTGATTACACGTTTCGCTCACATCGAAGGTTCACAATAGCGTTCTCACCTTCCATAATGATACATCGATCTGAAGTCTGAATGGATGCTTAGAGATACAATATACTCCCTACAGACACTTACTGGAACATGTTTTCACATAAACACCGCATTACAAAAGTTCTGTTCAATCATGTGATCGCATCGCCAGAGGGCCGAAGTGAAAAATTAGCTGTGTTTCGTCAAAACAATGGCACCTGCATGTCTTATATTTAATTAGTTATGAAATTGGATTTCATTATGCCTTCGCCGTCCATATTGGAATTGCTTTCGAAATGCTTTATCATTCCAGAAACAAATAGCCGTAATAATTATAGTTAGAATTTGATATAACTTCACATTCATCACGCTTTTTGCGGCCTTTTCTTTCCCTTTGTTGAGCATAAATCAATATTACAAAATTTGTCTTTATTTGTAGGCGGCAATACGATTGTTAATCTTTGATGAGCTGCCAATTGTCTGTATTGTCTATGATGTACACGCGTGTACTCGCGATGAACTCCAAGTCAGAACCAACATTCTGGTACGTAGGCTATTAGTATCTGATGTCCATGGGTCTGCACTCTCTTTTGCAGACGATGTACTGCAGAAAAGCCTCCATCTTTTTCTATGAAGACTTTTTACACTCGTCTTTCGAGATCAAACTCGAAGAATGATTACTTAGGCGAATCGTATGCGGTGTCTACAGCCGTTATCTATGTTGTAGCGATCTACCATAGACAAGCTTAGAGCATTTCTATGAAGACGTTGTTTCTGATTCGTAATACGATCTGTCGGGCGCCTATTATACAGTGTCTTTGAGTCTGCGTTGTCTATCGTATAGCCGATCTACCTCAAACAAGCTTCCAGCATCTTTGTAAAGAGATTGTTTTTTAACACGCGTCTATCGAGATCAGATTCGTAGTACGGACACTCGGGCTCTTCGTATGTGGTGTCTATGGTGTAGAAGAACTACCGTAGACAAGCATCTAATATCTTTTTAAAGAGTTTGTTTCTATCGCGTTGCACTTCAGATCTAAGTCGTGGTAAAGTCTTCTTCTTCCTTATATTGGCATGCTTTGGGAATTAGCAAATTAAACGATCACTCCGGCGCCTCCGATGCGGTGTCTAAGAGTCTGCGTTGTCTAGATCTACCACAGACTAGCTTCTAGTTTTATAAAGAGTTTGTTTTTTAGACGCGTCTTCAGAGATCAGATTCGTAGTTCGGACACTCGGGCTCTTCGTGTGTGTTGTCTATGGTGTAGAAGATCTACCGTAGACAAGCTTCTAGCATCTCTACGAACAGTTTGTTCATTGGCACGCGTCTGTCGCGATGAACTCCCGACCAGAATCTGCGGACGGCGACGTCCGCGTGTCTTAACGCCGGCATTACTAGTAATAGCTGTTGTAACGCGGCGTTCGCATTGTAAGGTCTGCGGACAATTCATAAATTATCAGTCATCATCAATATCATCAGCCTATTAATGCCCTCACTGCTGCGGCACTGGCCTTCACCCACCACGCGAACCCAGTGCGGTTTGGTGGGTGATAACGACTACAGATGCAGCCGGGACCAACGGCTTAACGTGCTTTCTAAAGCACGGAGCTCTAGATAGTAAATTTTTGGTCACCCATCCAATGACCGACCACTGCGAAAGTTGTTTAACTTCAACGATCGCAGCCGAAAGGCTGAAAAACCAATTGCGCCATCGAACTCCTCAATTATATAATTAACAGTCATTCTATTGAAAATTCTGTAAATGATTCGTTGAATAGAATTCATTATATTGATAATTATATAAATGGGACGATTTGTTTTAATACAGGATGTAAGAAAACCACGTATTCTGCCCATCATCAGGACCATTTTTGTCTTTTAGACTGATACCTTAGTAAGACTTATGCCTGCGTCATGAAGTTATTGCAGGTCAAGTATTTTCAAGATTTTTTTGGAAACTAATTTACGATGGGTGTTTTGTGGGACATCAATATATTTATAATGAGGTTTGTTGTAAATAATAAGATTAAATTTAATTAAAAATAGACATAATAATAATTAGAACTGCATTCACTGATTTATGGTTTCTAGAATCAAACTCGTGAATTTGAAAAAAAAAACACATGACCGTACGCTACACGCGTTCCTGAGAAAACCGGTCTTGACAGACAGACAACAAAGTGATCCTGTAAGGGTTCCGTTTTTTCCTTTTGAGGTACGGAACCTAAAAATCGTGTAATTTTCTCACATTTAAAACGCTATGTTATTGACGAAAAAATGATTCTCATGATTGACCCTTTTGACGGTTACCCTAATATATGTACATGTGTTTTTTTTTGTTTCACATTTCACGAGTTTGATTCCCGGGTTAGACAGGTGACTTTAAAAATAAAATTATGTTTTCTTTTAGTAAAATATCTTATCTTCAATATTTAGTATACTTTCCCTCAATGTGACATACCAGTGGGACGCCCTGTATAATATAGATTTATTCACCTGAGCACACTGACAGCGTCGTTGAGCGCTGCCAAAATGGCGTCGCGAAACCGTCTGAGCGCGGCATGCTCGTCGATACGCGCCTCGGAATTGGCCAGGACTAGGGCTTTTAATAAATAGCATTCTTCGCGCATCGCCGCTGCACTTTCTAGCCTTTTGGCGACGCCGGCCACCTGTGAGAAAACATTGAATATTTAGCAGGAGATTGGAGAAAAAATAAATAAATGGCGATAGGGTATAGCGGAATTCCCGCTCGAATTGGAGCGCCGTCAATACAATACCACTACTTTTTAGTGGTGTTGTGTTTCAGTCAGTGAAATAGGTCGAGGGCTCCACGGGGTTGAGGATTGGGTCAGGCTAGGCAACAGTGATATTATTGGTATCGCAAGCGTCTATAGGCTATAGCCCGCACAGGGGCAATGGGGGACTGGGTCACGTAGGGACCCTGGAACGGTCAGCATTTCGAGTTCTGAACACATTCCAAAATACATCTTCTTTAAGTTTTATAGAAAATACCACCTATGCCGTCATAAATTAAAGTGACGGGGAAAGAAATATTGGACTTTTTTATCATAAAAGAAGAAAGAAGTGCGAGTCGGACAGCGCACGACAGGTTCCGTACATACATAATATCGAGCAAAAACAGCAAAAAAAATCGTATCTGTGGTACTAGAGCCCCCCATAAGTTATTAAAGCGTCTAGCTATAAAGGTTCATGAGGTACAGCCTGGTGACATAAAAACGGACAGTGGAGTCTCAGTATTAGGGTCCCGTTTTAATCATTTCAATACAGAGCCCTAAAAAGCTTCTTATTTGAATTCCGAGTTGGCTCATTTTCATCATCATCATACATTAATGCTGTGGGGACTGCTGGGGCACAGGCCTTCCCTACAAATGGAATAGGGAGTTTTGGGCCATGACCCACCACGCAGGCCCAGTGTGGATAGGTGACCAACGGCTTAACGTGTCTTCCGAAGCACGTAAATTTTTGGTCACCCATCCAATGACCAACCACTGTGAAAGTTGCTTTACTTCAACGATCGCAGCCGAACGCGCTAACTCCTTGCGCCATCGAGAGTTGGCTCACCTGAGTGAATATATCCTGCGCACCCAGTTCCCGGGCCTGCTTCTCGTCGAGCGCCAGGTCGGTAGCGAAGCGTAGCCTCAGCGCACCGCCCGCCGGCATCGAGCGGTATGCCAGCATGAGGCTCAGCATCTCCGCCCATGTGCTCTGTAGCAGGCGCATCTGACCAAAAAATAATAAATATGCCGTTTTAAACCTTCATGATCGATTACTAACATCATCACCAGCTTATTAATGTCCCGACTGCTGGGGCACATGATGAACGGAATACGGAGATTGGGCCGGTTGGAAGATGCAGCCGAGGCCAACTAAAAGTGCCTTCCAAATCACGGGGGAGCTCGAGGTAATAAGTTTTGGTCACCCATCCAATGGCCGACCATTGCGAAATTTGCTTAACTTCTACGATCGCGGACCGAACGCGCTATCCACCTGCGTTATCGAGCTAACATCAATCTATATTGTATATAAACATAAACTACGATAAATAAATGAATAAAAGAGGAGCTTGAAAGCGCATGTGGATAGCTCGTTCGGCCAGAGATTGTGGCTGTTAAGCAAATTTCGCAATGGTCAGTCATCGGATGGGTGACCAAAAACGTACTACCTCTAGCTTCCTCCGTGCTTCGGAACACACCGTTGGTCCCAGCTGCATCAGCAGTCGTTAGCACCCAACAATCCGCATCGTGCCTGCAAGGTTGGGTTATGGCCAAATCTCCCCATTCCATCTAAAAGGAACGCCTATCCAATCCCCAATGCTGGGGGGTATTAATAGGCTTTGGTTTTTTTATTTTGTTTTTAAATCGGTGTTGATAAATGAATCAAACAAATATTCACTCATTCGGACACATTTTGTATGTTCTCTAACTTAAAACTTTCGACAACAGTGTATCCTTGTTATGCTCTATAAAGAATGAAAAGAAGTGACTGTTGCCAAATTTATTTTTATTTTTAGAGAATCAGACTCAATTTCCTTTGGGGTAATCGTAATACTCTTTTATATAAGATTTATATTTAAAATGCAACAAAGTGCGCATTGTAACGTAAGAACAAGGGAATCAACTCTTACCTGTACTAAGATGAATATTATGAAACTTTGGCACTTCATTTGGCTATTCATGTATGCTTACGCGCGTTTTGTATGAAAAAAAAAAGGATCGTCCGTACGACAAACGCACCGCTTCGGCACCGCAGCAGGCCGTCAAGAAACGCATAAATTGAAAGAGCCCTAAGTCTGTATTTACATTCCTAAATTTCAATGAAATTAGCAATTGCAGCAAAAAGCCAAGTAAGTACCGCATATTTTTATTGTGCAACTGTGAAATTTGTGTTGTACTGATGGAAATGACAATCTAATAACATAAATACTATAGCAAATGTGATGCTACCCAGGGTATCAAAGTCGTTCTTTGTAACAGTGGGCAACAACAGTGAGTATTTTGTTTTTAATACCTACGAAACGTTCAAGTTATCGTAATACACTTCAGTCTAAAGATTATTTTTAATCAGCAACGCGAATGTAATGCAACAATAAAATAAAAAATACCTCATTAAAATTACTTGTAGTATGATAAGAGTATTAAAAATTAGGTATTGGTACATCGGCATGATGATTTATTAATAAATATAGGAAGCGTCTAGCACTTGACACAAACAATAAGCATAATATCGATGCATCATCAATGGATCATAACAAATAAGAGCGTACTCGTTAATTTCCTCGACCGTGGTGACGTTTACTTGCGACGTCAGAGCTAATTCATATTCACGCCATTGCGCCACTTGTAAGTATAGTCAAGATCTTGTGGCGCGTTGGCGAAATCGGAACTAATTTAAGGAAGGTATAAATAAGCATAATATATATGAGGAGCTGGCGAAAAAAACGGTGTAATTACATAAAATCAAATTTTACAGGAGCTGTAAAAAACTGAATGACATACCTACAGTGAGCTCTTTTGGCGTGGTTTTCAATTTATAAATTTAGTAATTTTAACACTATTTTAGACGATTTTGATTGAAAATTATTTGAGATTCAAAATCAACGGTTCCGAAACCTCCGGAGTGTAAAAAAATGTAATTTAACCAGATGCGTAATTATACCGTTTTCTTCGCCAGCTCCTCATTTAATAATAATTTATAGAGGCAGGTGTAAATAAGCCCTATTACTCTTATTTCCTAATACTCTCCGAGATATTGTTAAATATAACGTTGCCTTTAAAAAGGAGATTTTACGTACTTTTCTACACTCATTTCATCACTTATTCACAAGCTGCGCCCTCCTGCCAATGTCATAAAAGTACCACAAGATCTTGATCGCACTGTAAACTGACAAGCGATGTGCTTCCACATGAGTAAAGAAGACACAGAGGCAAAGCTTCATACAACGCGCATGTGTGAGTGAACACTGGCGCATATAACAATAATAATAAATTATTTATTTGTTTCAATATACAATTAGTACAATACACAAATAGAATGAAAGTAAATTTTAATTGAAACAAAAAGGTGGCTCAGCATGTGACAGTCAAGTTTTGACTTGTCGCTGGTATTCTGCCACCCCCTCACAATTATTATATTCTTAAAAACACATTAATTATGACATAATCAAAGACATATACATAGACAATAATTTAGTTTAAAATACTACTAGCAATTAAATAGCATCATATATTGTACTTGCCGCCTTGTATTGTCGTTCAAGGAACCACCGTTTACACCTTTGCTTGTTATGCTTATATCGCGTACGCAGAGACGCGTTTCTATTGGCGTCGACAGCCCACACACCCGCACTGCATAAAGCTATGCCTCTGTTGCTTATTTACTCATGCAGTAGTACACTGTGGTCGTCAAAAAAGTGGTCAAATAATTTGTATCAAATAATTGAGTTCTGCGGCTGCCTATCGCCACCAATGGAAACGTTACGCGGCAGGCACCAGTGCTAACTCACTCACGATGACACGATCAATTGTATGAATAAATAAAATATAAATAAATATTTCCAACACTCACAACAATTAGCCTAGCCCCAAAGTAAGCACTATAAGGCTTGTGTTATGGGATGCTAGAGTAACGGATACAATACATATACTGTATATTTAGTATATTTATATAGAAATACATATTAAACAGAGTACAAATGCACACAAACATCTGCCCCCACCGGGATTCGAACGCGGGACCTCTCCAGTCAGCCCCGGAGGTCGTCATGAAGAATGAAGTTTTGCCTCTGTGCCTTCTTTACTCACGTGAAGCTACCGTGTCAATTGCAGTTGCTATGCGCACTGCGCGCTGATGCAAAATCGGCATACGACCTTCACCGTTTAATTTACTCATTTTAATTATGATGAAGGATTATGTTTTAAATGTTCTATATATTTATTATGATGAAGGATTAACTGATAAAATCCAATGCTACCGTTGGCAACATAAATTTTATGACACAGAAAATTAAATAAAATTTTGCAGAGTCGTAAAATGTATGTTAAGTTCTAAAATTAAATTTGGCCATGAGGAAAACCAATATCATTGGTGCATCCAAGAGTCGTTGAACAAACTCCATCAACGAGGCTTTGACTGTAAGATAGACACTTAGGCTCGTATTACAGAATGACAACTGAGTGTTGATCTTTACTTGGGTACAGTTAGAAAGGGATGTCGCTATGTGCTATATATAGAGGCATCCCTTTCTAACTATGCTCAAGACTAGATCAATCACTGAGAATCTTTCTATAATACGGGCCTAAGGCTCGTATTACAGAATGAGAACTAAGTGTTGATCTTTACTTAAGTACAGTTAGAAAGGGATGTGTGCTATATATATCGAAATCCCTTTCTAAGTATACTCAAGAAAAGATCAACACTTAATTGTCATTTTTTTATACTGCCTCCTCTTTTATGCCGAGATATCATTTCAAAAGGTCCGTACTACAAAGTAGTATTGTAGTAAGAAATAGAGGCTACGAACATAATACGCTAGTCTGACGTGCCCGCCAGTTGTCTAACTTTTTGACATTTGAAAGAAATTCACAACTGCTACCACTAAAAGAATGTAATTAAAACTAAAAAAAACTACTAATTTTATAAATATGAAAGTTTGTATGTTTGTCCATTTGTTACTTGATCACGCAAGAAATACTGAATGGATTTGGATGAAATTTGGTACGCGTATAGTTCATGACATTGAATGAGATTGAGATAAGGATACTTTTTATCCCAGAAAAAATAAGGTTCCTGTGTGTGGGATTGTCTAAAAACTAAAGTTAACGCGGACGAAGTCGCAAGCGACCGCTAGTACTTAATATAACAGGGGAGGAGTAGCGAAAGCTGAGAACCCCTTCTATCCTACCTAACCCTATTTTTATGCAGCTAGCCTACAAGCTTTCCCTATGGTTTGAATAGGGAAATTGGGCCCTGACTCTTCAAGAGATTGGTAGGTGCAGCCGGTACCAGCTAACGTGCTTTTTGAAGCACGGATGTGTTGGAGATGAAAAATTTTCACCTAGTATAATATATATAAATAACATAAACGGTCACTCATCCGATGACCGGCCATTGCAAAAGTTACTTAACTTCCATAATCGCAGATCGAACGCGCTAAGTCATTGATTTGTATGCGAGAGAATGCGTACAAGTAGATACAAAATTTCGACACACTGTACACAGGGGGCGTAGCTCAGATGGTAGAGCGCTCGCTTAGCATGCGAGAGGTACCGGGATCGATACCCGGCGCCTCCAATTTTTTTTTAATTTACTTTTGTATTTTTATTTAAGTTAATTTGGTCATCAGAAATGTGTCCTACATATTAAAGCGTCTGTTCTGACCTGGGGGTCTATTCTCTTTCTCCGAAACGAACTTTCGATAACGAAGTTCAAACGAAATTTAATTTCGACAATTTAAGATTATACTTAATTTGAACGATAAACCATCAAATTGAAACTTTCTTTGAGTAGGCTTCGAATATCTAAGACCTCAATCTATATTCCGACGACGAATTTTATAATAATTAAAAACGAACCAGAAACATAGTAAGAAAAGTGCGAAGTTTTGACCGAAATTTCGTTTTTCGTTGAATTAGAGTAGGCCTTCTGGTCGTTGAGCTAGATGTACATAAAGCCATGATGTTGATGTTTGACCCAGCCTATGACCTCGACTAATTCCCAGTCGTAAGGATCGGCCAGTAGTGCATATATTATAGTCTTTTGAAATATAGCCTACTATGCTAATAGTCTTTTGTCACCTGATCATTGAGCTGGAGGTCCGTGAAACCGGGTATCTGTTTGGGCCATCCTATGACCCCGACTAGTTCCAGATCTTATGGGCTGACCAATAAGGGCTACTCATTAGATAAGCGGTCTACTTTCGTCTATTCTCACCTGATCATGTAACTGGGGGTCCGTGAATCCGGGTATCCGTTTGGCCCAGCCAATGACCCCGACTAGTTCCCGGTCGTAAAGGTCAGCTAGAATTGCTAGAAACTTCGCAGATAATTATTATAAAAGTAGCCTACTTCTAGTCTGTTCTCACCTGATCGTTGAGTTGGAGGTCCGTGAATCCAGGTATCTGTTTGGCCCAGCCAATGACCCCGACTAGTTCCCGGTCGTAAAGGTCGGCCAGCAGGGCTAGAGTCTTGGCGGTGGGGTCAGTGACCCCTGTCGGGGTCGCGGCACAAGTCAGCATCTCCGGCTCGTATGAAGATAGCGCTTCCAAGACCTGCACAAATAAGAGGGGATATGATATTTATTAAGAAAATACCCATTATATAAATGAAAATCTTGATAATCTACTTAAGATTTAGTTGAACTGTAAATGAATATACTAAAAGAATTATAAGTTGCATGTGTTCTTAGGGGTATCCTTGACTGAAAAACAAAATTTTAGGTCATATTTTAACAAGACAAAAATGCTACATTGTAAGAACGAATTCAGATCACGGTATTTATTCAAATTCTTTCATTAAATAGGTAGGTAATGGGAAAAATTCTAAGATTACGAGTGAAGTTCTGCTACTATAGCTAATCTTATGCCCACAAACTTCTGTAAACATTTCTAAATTATGTTTGTAATTTAGAGACTTCAATCAAAACGTGCATAAAATTTACTGAAATAAAGTAGCCTCGCCCGAAATCAGTTATAAAAATAATTTTAATGTTTTTGAATAACGATTTACATTGAGTATCTGTTTAAGTTAAGTTAAGTGTATTTTTTTCACCGCCGTTAGGACTAACTGAGCGATTTTCAGGTGTTGTCTTATCAATATAAATAATAAGTTAGCAAATATTTATTCAAAGTCGGTTTTACAATAAAGTCCTTAGGTCTAAGATAATATAATATGGTGAGCGATGGAGATGTAATAAAATATAGCGGCGGTACTTCTGCCTTCCTCCTCGCAATCGGTCCAGGCGTACTCCTTCCATAAAATGGCAGTCGTTACTGACCTATATTTTTATTTGATTAACTGGTTACTAATGGGAGGGAGGGGGGGGGGCTTAATTAGGATATTGAAATACGCCCTTATGGCATGACTACGTCCCTGACTCCCTCGCGCAACATGCCCGTACGCAGACACTCGTACAGTACAATTAAAGGGACATACTTTGATATCAACTAGGTACATTAGTACAATACAAAAGGATGCACAACTTAATTTGTAATCCTCTATCATCAACGTGGATTCTGTCAGTTGCTACTAACAACTAGAAGGGGTAACACGACTCACCTTGATATCATCTAGCATCGGACGGGGCGCGGGCGGGGGTTGGTCGGGATGGCGGCGGTACTTCTGCCTTCCTCCCCGCACTCTATCCAAACGCACTCCTTCACGCAACATGCCCGTACGCAGACACTTGCGGAACCGGCAGGCTTGGCAGGCTTTGCGACGCCGCTTGTTGATCTCGCATTCGTTAGACGCAGGACATGTGTATTCGATGTTGCCCTGTTGAAGAAACGCTCTTTTGTGATTTTGCAAATAGTTTAGTAGCTTAAAATTTCTTAGATGGAGCGTGCGATTGCAAGTACATTTATAAAACTTGGTATCTAAGTAATAAAGCTTATTTTTGTTTGCGAAAAATGTAACTTAAATGTTTCATTTAAAGTGATTAGTTTAATAATGTATTAAAACATAACGCACATTTTCATTTTTTTCTTTTATTAAGCTATTATTTATTTTTCGACACAATTTAATTATAAAATATTTAACATTGACCTACAGATTTGAATTTTAACACAGGTGTTGTCTTTGAGACGTACCTAGTCATGAAGGACTTTTACGTGTTCACATTTTTGTAGGTTTCACTTCGAATGTGAACAGCACATATCCGTTTTTTTTTATTTCAATTTCTATCTTTAAACATCGACCTAAAATTAAATCGACAAGTTTGGGTTTTATATGTATATTTTTTTATTTATTTCCTTGGTAAACAACTGCGTTGCAGTGTACGTGCATCCTACACGGGTTCATAGTCTAATAGTTAAGTTTATAACAGGTTTCCTCTTTATACACTTCTATTTTATTTTATTTTGACAGGTATACAACTCATAATGTTGTTTTAACTAATTTAAACTTATTTCCCCCTTACAAATAAAAAAGAAATAAACTGAAGACTAGTTACGCCGTGTTTTGTTCATGTCACTCAAAGGCCATTTGTCATTCAATAGACAGAGACAAAACATGGAGTAACTAATCCAAGCGTAGTCTTCGTTTATTAATAAGGAGGATTGAGTATTCAAACTAAAAAAAACCCAAAAATTATTTGCAGACCTTTTCTAGTATGGATTCTTAACATCCAATTCGTGACGATGCAGTGGTCTAATAGGTGTGTAGCGCCGAAAAATTTTATAGCCAATGCATTCTATTTTGTTTTTTTTTGTGACAGAACATGGGCGCGAGCTTAGACCAAGGTTGATACCTAGTTCCGTGTCCTTGAATAAGAATAGCATGATGTCTACCGCCTGATTACAAAACTAAAGTTACTTTTGTTTGCTAAAAAGATGACAGTGACAGCATTAGGTTTAAACCATGACTAACTTTAGTCCGCGATTTGAAAAAAGAAAGTTATAAAGAAAATATAACTAGAAAAAATTCCCCGGGGGCCAGGCAGCAGATGGGATTCGAACCCGCACCCTTCGCAATCCGGGCGAATGCACTGACCAATTACGCTACCGCAGCCCTCACGGACCGCGTCGAACTTTCTCTAGCCATTCTTAAGCTGCAAGGCAGCGCCATCTCTTCGCATTATAGGCAACCCACGGGTGCGGGTTCGAGTCCCGTCTGCTGCCTGCTCCGCGTGGACTTTTTTCTAGTTATATTTTCTTTAGATTTAAACATCAAGCAGTTACATGCTTTAAAAATATATATATATAAGAAAGTTATAGTTGAATTTAATTTCACAATAAGACGTTCTGCCATTACCTACCGCAAAAGATAGATCGTAAAACTAAGTATCAAGCAAAATACCTTTGGTTTCTTTAGTATAATTAATTAGCAGAATATCACCAAATATACGTAGAACACAACCAATGAAGGAGAAAGTTCGTTATCTTTATTGCGAATTATTCAATCCAAGTAAAGAACACGTGCATAGTCATTCATGAACTTCGATTTTAATATATACCTATTGTAGGTACATCTCCAAGAAAATTAATCTAATAATAGGTACCAATTACAAAAAGCGCATTAAACCTTCAACCTTAAAACGTTGTATTATAATCGAGTAGAGGTCGAATTTATTATACTATTTATAACATTATACATATGCAATTACACCATATGTATAAACTATTAGCAAACTGAACTGTTCCAACAAAACCATAGTGGGAGGCGATTAAGAAAAATCTTCTAGAATGAAGAAAATCTTCTATGCTAGCCTAGGAAAATTTCTTGGGCAGGCTTTTAAATTAATCATGAAGAGGAAGGTCTCGTGGGTTAACCCTCACAAGTATAATGTACCTACTACGATTGATAATGTCCTACAGTTTATGAATATTCCACTATCATAACATTAATTGATGTAAGAAAACAAACTAAAGGATTCAAAGTGCAAATATTCTTTTTATGAAACCTTCTTCAAACAATACGAAAACGAGTCATTCAATTTATTATATAACGTAATAAATGTTTACTTCCGGACGCGTATTTCGGTGTTTTTCCGCTGAGTTTTCGCATATGAAGCTTCATACTGAGCAAAACAAGTTGCGAAGGCTCTCTGACGCCGCTCCAAGCCGTACGCATTTGAGAGACGTTCTATCTCGATAAAACGACGGTTGTGTACATCAAGAAGATGTGAGTAAATTGACGGAAAATGCCTGAATTTGGTGCGTTGATTTGGTTAATGGAATTAGGAAAACAGCGTTCTGCATGTGCATGTGCGATGCTGCTGTGGTATAGAACAAGTTCTTACCATTATCATTTCTACTGCTGGGGCAAACCTCTACTATATGTATAGGATCATGACCCACCTAAGCGCAAAGGCAAGCAACGACTCCGGAAGCAGAAGAGCCCTATGGGCTTTTAAAATAAAGTACGTGCCTTATATGTAAAACCCATTGGTTAATGGAGTCCAGTTAAAAGCTAATGATCCAGCCATCCTTACCTAGCCTGAACTCAATTGCCAATCCATAGAGCCTTGGAAAACTAACTCTCCAACAGAAACCTCCCCTCCCAAGGGGAGTTGTTATTGACATAATGCCAGATTCTGGTGAATTGTGCGTGTCTCAACAAATAATTTAACACCTTTTGTACCACTTTTCTTGCAAATAAATAAATAAATAAACATTGAAAATGGACTGCGCGTTCCCTGCCCAACTGTGAAGTAAAACTGGACAGATAAGTGTGATATAGACGAAGCGACCAATAGTTCGTATAAGTATCACCATCGCTTTCTTTATTTCTAGAGAGTCGCTCAGTCCATTTTCTATGTAAGTGGTCATTCAGACCTATACTGTCCTGTATGGTTCTTTTGAAGTAGGCCACTCCGAAATTGAATCTGGATGCCATATTTACATAAACCGTTTTTGTTCAAAAAATTGTTCGCGATAGAATTTATCGGACAGTTGGGAAAAGAATAGTCAGTCCCTCTATATCTAAGCAGCTCGGCTCATCCAGAAGGCCCCAAGAGGCAATCACCAATGTGAAGGCACTGGGGGCGTACTTTTGGGAGCTCAGCTGGCTGGATTGATTCCGGCAACACACACAGGCAAAACTGGCGCCATAAGGGGCTGTCCATTAATCACGTGAGGCTCGAAAGGGGGGGAGGGGTCCATAAAAAATCACGAAATATCACAAGGAGGGGGGGGGGGGGGGTGTAGTAATATATCACGTGTATTTCTGTGGTCCGAGGATACTATACATAAAATAATGTTCAATCTATAAATTTTTCGCATTCTTTCATTATTTTTATGTCAGTCAAAAACAACCTGCAACCTTGATACTTTATACCTGTATTTTATAAGTATTTTAAACAAAATGATAATATACTAAAAAATACACGTAAAAAACACGAAAAAAAACTCATGTGATTAATGGACGGCCCCTAAGAAGTCGAGTTGCGGAAACCAAGGAGAAGAAAATATCTAAGCACCGACCTGTATGGTTCTCTTAAAGAACGCCTTGCACGCCTCGCAGCTAGCCACTCCGTAGTGGAAGCCGGAGGCGACGTCGCCGCAGACGAGACAGAGTCGCCTCGGGGCGTCGTCGTCGCGGGCACCGCTGGCTGCTGCAGCTGTGGTGGATGAACAGTGCTGCTGCTCTGGACTAGTGTTGCCAACTATGGTGCCGTCACCGGGAGAAACGCAGAACTTCACTTCTTCCTTCGGCTCGAGATCCAACTGCAAGATAGAAAAAAAAATGTAATAAGATCGGCAAACCAGCATGTAGCCCGCCTGATGGCAAGTCGTAACCATAGATTGACATATTAAAGTATCATCCAACTGCAAAGAAAGTGAAATCAATGTAATAAGGGCGGAAAATCAGAATACGTGGCCAGGACAACATAGTGATGATTGCAGAACCACAGTATTCTGATCCTGACCCCATCTGTTGAGCCTTGAAACAATAGGGATGATGACTAATTTTTTCTTCTTCGTTTATCAGGTAGATCAAAAAGTATTGGACACGTATTTTGTTTTTACATAATATAAACATTGCAAAGATAATAAGAAATTGATTTGAAAAGTCGCATGACGTCACGTTTTGGTACAATTTTCACATAAATGTGACGTCACGAGCCCGTACTCCCAAACTTGACGCGCGAACTTTGTCATTTTTTGGTTGATTGCCCAAAGAAAAAATACGTGTTCATTATTTTTTGATCATCTAACTAACGGACTAAATAGCATTTCGTTTACTGTACCCCGTCATCACCCCTATTCTCACAACGGTCCTCAGTAAAGAAATTCCAATAGGGCCAACCTCAATTCTATCCTCACATACATTCTTAATCTTAAAAATAAAAGATAATATAATAATAGTTGTATTGAAAATACAACAACATCAATACGGCAAGAACAAAGTTGTTCGGTCAGTCCTGTGAACTTCTAAGAATTATAAAAAATTGCGACACTGCATGTTACTGTGCCATTCCACGGTCGCGTAGGATTAAAGTTTTTTCTAAACCTCTGTAACTATATAATTAGTAGTAAGGATAATTTGATCAGTTCAATAAAATTATAGTTTATAGGATGTTTCAGTTTGTATTCTTTTTTCTTTCAACATTTTTTATCTTATGATCTTATTCGGCTATTACTTACTAAAACGCATCTATTATTATCTTCAAAACAGTTTTGAATAAGGAATTGAAATTAAATTCCTCATTAGTAAAAATGTATTCTAAAATTTGTAAGACATTTGTTACTGAAACGAAACCCGTTCTTGTTAAAAATATTGAACCAGTGCGTAATCTGTTAATATAACTCTCTTATCAACTTTTATCACACATGGGAAAGCGTGCATCTATATAAATACAATGATTGTTGCCACAGAGTCAGAGTGCAGCATAATGAAATTAAAAATATAACTTGTTTTCGAAACTCCCTCATGAAATTTTATTTTGTTTAATTTGTCCAATAACAGAACTATGCGTGGGTCAAATACAGACAAAAGTACATATTTATCGTACACGGTACGGCTAAATTCGAGCAAGTTATGTATGCAAATTTTATGTATTTCGCATCGCTTTGAAGCAAGGAAGAAACTTTTACTCTCAAGAATATTTAAATATGTATACATCATACTGAAATTTATGAGTTCCGGTAACAGAACGTCCAAATGTAAGTGAATGTTTTAAATCCCTGAAACATTGTAAAATATTGTTCAAAACTATGTAAACCAATTAATAAAAGAATGGACAATAAGGGCCGAAATGACAGCGGCCAGAAGCGACCCAGCAAGCACTTACTCACTGAACCGTTCTTGATGTGTAACATCTTTCCTCTCGCTTTCCTGCAATTTGTGGGAGTGATTTCGTGAAATGGGGCGGAGGTGTGTAACAGGAAGTCGCGAAAGCGCGCGCTATTTGATTTGATTTTAGAACATAATGTTCAAATGACTTATTTCTTTTGTTTTCCTAAAAAACCCCTGCGAATGTCACGAAGCCATGCCTGGAGGGTTAAAGGACTTGCACACTATAAGGGTTCCGGACCATTGTACAAGGGTTTACACCACTCGAGCAACGACTGCCGAAAATTATTTAATTTATAACACATCTGATATGGGCCCAATTTATTTTTAATTTTATTTGTGGATATATAAATATGAATTTTCTGTGAAAAATTTAATTTTCTACTTTTTACGGTTCACGACATGACATGCGGCATCCTGACAGGGGACATCCTCGGGGGGCGCGAATTAAAAAGATTGAAACAAGCTGCGCTAAGCACGTTCGTTGCATTTGTTTCGGCGCATAGGTAGGTAAAGGTATACATGTGCCTTTATCTTTATTATTTAAACAAACAAACCGAAATCGCGCCGAACCGGCTGCCTGGCCTTGAGACGAACAGTAAGACTTACCGCTTGCCGTAATAGGCAGACAGATATACAGAGGTGAGGTAGCACAGATAATACTGCTTCCATTCGGCCGTGATGTAACATAATCAAAAGTGTGTTGTGCTGATAGAGAAGTGTTTTTATTTTCTATTAGCTTCGGCCCCCGACTTTGTTTTTTGCACCTAAGGATTTGATTCGTTCTTGAAGATCATCAGATCATCCGTTTTCCACAAGGGTATGCAGAAACATTAGATCTCCGCTTACTTTATTCTAAGATTCTTACAAACTGTTTTATTTCTGCGGTATTCATCATTTTCTCCTACGAAAGGATATTTTATAATGCCATTTATCAGATAAAATCATGTTTTTCATATCCCATTTTAGAAAGGATATTGGAAGGTGTATCTATCATGGACTTACAAAAATGATGAAACTAACCAATACGTTTACATCCTGTCTGCAAATCCACATATGTATGCAACAATAGCAGAATGCATATACATAATGATATCTTTATAATAATGTTGATTAAAGTCAAGAATCAATATTTGCAAACGACAGTTAATAATTTTTTAACATCTAATTAGTTGCATTAAATAGATTACATTATCTCTTATTAGTTCACGTAGATTAGACATCATAAATGAGAAATGAATATCAAAGAATCATTACAAATGCTCATGCGCATGACCAACGCACGAATCCATCTATGGATTGTGGATTTAAATTAGTCTTGAGAGACATAATAATTAATTGTATACCTCTTAAGGCTGTAGTATTTTTCAAAGTTAGGAGGTCAAATTGCAATGCGTACTGTTGCTATTGATTGTTTAGTTTAAACAACATTCCTAAAGGCAAGTTATTGAGTGGGTGACCAACAAATTTTGACCTTGAATTTTTATCCGTGCTTCAGAGTGCACATTAAACTATTGGTCTAATAGCAGTAATCAACTCTCACTCAACCCGCGTTCTGTATGGTAACATGCACAATACAACAGCAGCACAGCTCAATGTTGATTGGCTATCCTTATAATCTAAGAGGAGGGAGGTTCCTAAATAAAGCATAGCCTACAGCGCAGCATAGCTTGATGTTGATTTGTCACCCTTAAAAGCTGACGATAATGCCACAACATAGGCAGTAGCCAGAAGGACGGCTCTCGCAATCTTCGGAAGCAGTTACCTAGACTTAGGTACCGTAATAGATTTTTACAATACGTGCCGCTAGTCGCGAATAAATTCTGCTTGAAAATGGTTGTAAACGTAACGTCAATGTGTGCGCTACAGAAATGACGCTTTGTTCTGAGTCGACTCTGTGACTGGACGCGAGGGCGGTTACACAGGTGTAGATAGCGACCACAGAACACAGAAAAAGGAACTCTTTCTGTGTTATGTGATAGCGATAAACCCATCTCGCCATAGCCATCGCCTAACGGTATAGCTATGACTATCGCTTTCGCTTACGTTTCATTTTGTTATTTCTGACCGCCGAAGGTTTTCATACGCCCTGTGTTCTTTTTTTTCTTTTGTTAGGTAACAACAATATCGAAGAAAATGAGCGTGAGCTATTGGAAAACCTTCGGCGGTCTGATATAACAAAATAAAATCGTAAGCTATAGCGATTGCAATAGCCATTACATTAGGCGAATGACCCCCTGGAGTAAAACCACAGACAAACTTACGCATTGACGTTTTTATGTGTAAAATTGCTACTACGTAGTGGTTTATGTTCAATGTTTGCCGGAGCGTATTCTTTGTGAAAGTGCTGTGTGCAATGTTACCTCTCGAAGGCTGCATCATTGTATGGTCCTCTGGTACAGCTGCGGCGTGAGCGGGGGATGCGGCTCCGGCGGAGAGTCCTAAGGTGTAGGCTCTGCCTCTTGCTTTACTCGACGTAGCAATGGGTCGCAAGATGTTTGCCATGGCGTAGTCTTTGTGTTAATGCTATGTGCAATAGTTACCTCTGAATGCTGCATCATCGTATGGTCCTCTAGTGCAGCTGCGGCATGAGCGGCGACTGTGGCAGAGAGTACTGAGGTGTAGGCTCTGCCTCTTGCTTCACTTGACGTTGCAATGGGTCGCAGGATTTTTGCCGGGACGTATTAATTGTGTTAATGCTGTGTGCTATGGTTACCTCTGAAGGCTGCATCATTTGTATGGTTTTCTGGTGCAGCTGCGGCGTGAGCGGGGGCTGCGGCTCCGGCGGAGAGTACCGAGGTGTAGGCTCAGCCTCTTGCTTCACTCGACGTAGCAATGGGTTGCAAGATGTTTGCCAGGTCGTAGTCTTTGTGATAATGCTGTGTGCAATGGTTACCTCTGAAGGCTGCATCATTTGTATGGTTTTCTGGTGCAGCTGCGTCGTGAGCGGGGGCTGCGGCAGAGAGTACTGAGGTGTAGGCTCTGCCTCTTGCTTCACTCGATGTAGCAATGGGTCGCAAGATGTTTGCCGGGACGTATTAATTGTGTTAATGCTGTGTGCTATGGTTACCTCTGAAGGCTGCATCATTTGTATGGTTTTCTGGTGCAGCTGCGGCGTGAGCGGGGGCTGCGGCTCCGGCGGAGAGTACCGAGGTGTAGGCTCTGCCTCTTGCTTCACTCGAAATAGCAATGGGTCGCAAGATGTTTGCCAGGGCGTAGTCTTTGTGTTAATGCTGTGTACAATGGTTACCTCTGAAGGCTGCATCATTTGTATAGTCCTCGGGTGCAGCTGTGGCGTGAGCGGGGGCTGCGGTTCCGGCGGCGAGTACTGAGGTGTAGGATCTGCCTCTTGCTTCACTCGACGTAGCAATGGGTCGCCACTCACAGCTGACATCATTTGCACCTGCACCAACAATGGAATACGTTATAATTAACAGTTTACAATATTCTCGGTGAAATTTTTTAACAGTTACCTACTTTGAAGTGTGGCCATTGAAATTTATCTTCAATTTTAAAGTGAAACTAATTACATTGCCACATTTTTTTTTATTCATAAAGATTCTAATTCTATGAAGATTCTTATTAAAATAGATAAAAGTAGAACATTTTGTCAATGATTTAAAAAAAATACTTGAATCGTGGTTTCATAAAGCCACACGATTTTTTTTACTTACTACATTTCTATTTTAAACTAATATGTATAAATCAATAGATAGTTTTACTATAAATATGATGCACTCTGCCAAAATGTCATGCTGGATTCGAATCAGCGCTTACCGCTATCCGGGTGGATGCACTTACTGCTAAGCTAACGAGACCTTGATGGGCGTGTCAAATTTCTTCTAGTATTTTTTTAGATAAATCTAGTGGACACTTGGACCGAGTGGATTTATTTATAATAAAATTTTAATTAGCTATATATCTAATTTGACGAATGATATCGTAAAATGCTGTTACAAGTCTTCCTGAGCTCTGCCAACCTCGCAAGGGATACATGGACTCGATCGCAGAAGCAAAAAACATGGTAGATGTACCTATAGTTGGTTAAGAGACACTGAAAAGCGTATCTAATCTTAATTACAAACAATTGTATGCGTATGTCTGCCTTTTAGACTTAAATAAAGAGCAACAAGCATTGAGACAAAACTTGTCACCAGTAAAAATAAAAACTCAGCACAAGAAATAGACTGAATCCAAAAATAAATAAGGTGTAAAAGGCACGGAAAACCGGAAGGGAAGAAGAAAGATATTTCATTGTGACTTAAATGTAAACGGTTTCATAAGCATTTACCTAAGACGTTAGATTATAATATAAGTGTCATAATAATCCAGGTCTATTTTTGAAGAAACTAAAGAAAAAGTGTGTTATCTAGATATTATTTATTCTCCGCCCACTGGGCAAACAAAATTAAGTATTTATCGCTGAAACGTAAAAATGTTTCAAGGATGCATCGAACGAGTTCAACGTCCTCTTGACATTGCAAAGTTGTATATTGTGATAATAGGCTAATGACGTAAGCGATGTAAGTCTTAAATGTGTAGCTATCACATTCTGCATAATTAAATACCGTCTGTTTCATAAAACAAACGATACCTACTCCGCTGAATAAGTTGAACAACCACATTACACAATTCCGATTGTAGGTACTGATGCTGAGCCATAACCTATACCAAGCTGTATTTTGTTACCAACAAAACTTATTCTGCCGTCGGCGTCCGCCGTCCATGAGTAATAATAACGATTAATCATCGTGACTAGATTTCGTGGGGAAGCAAAAAATGCTCTCTTCATCCGTCCTCTGAACTGTTCCATTGTTTCAAAAGGGATATCTTTAGATTTTGAGAACATCGATGACTGTGTTACATTAGTAAGCATTCAATGTTCAAATCATACTATTCATATCATCACTGAGATGCACTAACATACATAAATTAAATAATAGGTTAGCTTCCATCATGTTCAAAATATTTATTTTAAGTCTGATGAATTGTGAATACAGAGACATGAGATTTAAACATGATTTTTAGACAAGTATAATTTAAGGAATTTGATGCAAGTGGTCCTAAATTTTCTTCTCTTACCTTAGTTACCTTCCACTTTGAATAGGTCTGAAACATTTTCAGAATTCATATACCTAACCTTTTCTGATTGTAACTAATTAAATTATATAACAAAGCTATACGAATTCTATTCTAAGATATCTTGACAACATCACGTAATATCCCTAAAATCAATAACTTTCAACAAGTGGGTACCTAATGAAGGAAAATTGGATCAATATGAGGTAAGAAAACAAAAAACTCGCGATTTTTTTTTCTAACAGACACTAATCCACGAATAAGTAAAACCAGAGAGTCAAATAACTAAAATGCCGATACGAAATTTCGTCTATAACCATCATCGTCTAAGCCGCGATCTTGATACGAAAAGAAAAAGACGATAATGTGCTATAGGGAACCTGATTCCCTGCCGCGCCTCAATGCCATCGGTGTGCTATCATAAAAAATAGGGTATTCATAATACGCGGCCGCGGGTCGGCGACCGGGTGTCCGTGATATCACCTTTGTAGATAAACGTCAATTCGACTACTCGAGCCGCCAAACAACGCGACGTAAGTACGTAACCTGCGCCGTGTTGAGGCAGGCTCTCGCGCGTTTTATTTTACCACTGTAACACTGGGAAACTGTCATCAAGGATTTTAATAAATTAACACTTGACTCGAATAGACAAATCCATACATATCTACAGCTACATATGTACACCAAAATTACCTCTGCTAGGAGAGAAATCTCAATTTTCTGAATCTTTGTGGAAGTTTCATTACAATCAAACGCCTTAGCTAAAACTGGGACATTCGTGAAACACAAAAAAGGAATTTTAAATTAGTGGTTAGGTAAAACAAATATCATTAGAACCCAGTGTTCCAATAACATTAAGGTGGAATATAAATGTTTGTCGTTGTAAGTAGATGTCTAGACAATAAAGCCGATTTTCTTAAGACGCACAAACAAGAAATAATTCAAATAATTTCTACGAACTCAGACCTGTAATTTACTTCGATCCATAAGTCACATCTAAAAACGAAGCGGCTTTGAAATAAATTAATCAAACGTACTTCTTACATATTTTTTCTGGAGAAGGATGCATATATACCTATATTTATTTTTTTGCTTCTTCTTATAGTATTTTTTTACAGAGACACGTCATATTACGAAACAGCTAGAAGAATACAATTAGGAAAAAAATCACAGAGCTTAAAATAGTACGATTTGCTGTTAAAAAAACTTTACAAGTCTATCACATACTTTCTATTTTTAAAATATCTAGGAATCCCTTATTTCATATTTTTTTTACTATTCTGCTTGCACTTCTTATATTCATTACAGATGAAATCATAATGCGTTTTTAAGGCTTTATTTAACAAGTTAATATTTATTGAATTGTTTAATTTACTTTTGATTATTTCTTCTGATACTGGTTATTTTTATTTAGGTACGTAGAAAGATGCTCAAAGATACGCCCTAGATGATACGCAAATAGTATTATCAACTCGTGGATTGAGTAAAATATAAAATGTTAAACAATACAAAATATCAAAGCATTAAATCAACAGACTACGCCTAACAATATCAGCGACTCGCAGTGTTGTCATATTGACGTATTAGATCCTGCCCGACCTACCACAACATTAAAATAAATGTGTATTTATTAGTTGTGTTTTTCCGTGCGTTATCTATGAACTGATATATATACTTTTCTATATATAAATAGATATTATATAACTTAGCAATAAATAATTTAGTTTTTTTATTGTTATCATATTGTTATCGCTTTATCGTCCGACCACCGCCTGCCGTAGACATTATGCCAAATTTTCACATCAAATTATTGTCTCCACCAAACAATATGTGTGGTAAAGTTTGTATTCTATAATTTAAATATAAATCAATACTGACGGAGCACCAAAAGATTAGAATTCTGATCATAGATTTATTCGTATGCGTATATCAAATTGATTAGCTAATAAATTTAATAATTTCATAACAAAATACATAATATAATAATGATCAGTTGCACGCATACGTAAAGAATTCAAGGCTACGATGTTAGCCGCAGCAGCAGTAAAGGTGACGTCACCGCGACATTTTTAGCGAGTCAATGTTGAAAACTTTTCTCCAATGATCATCATAAATAGCCGAATGTTGTTTTTTGAGCTGATAATTTATCAGTAGTGCATAACCAATAATAATAAATTGAATAAATAAAGAAATAAAGGCAGTAAAGGCGATGGTTGGTAAGTGAGACAGCTCAGCCCAGTCGCTGGAAAGGTAGGTCATGGTTGGTACATAGGTACATAAGGCTTGGCCCAGGCAATTTCGGTAGGCTGTAGACGAAAATAGGTAGTGAGGGAGCACAGGCGTCGTCGGCCCGTGATGTGGGCGGGCAGGGTGGTAGCGAGCGGGCGGGGGGTACGTCTAGACGACGGCCTTGACCGACGCACGGTTTCCGCGCGCTCCGAGGTCGCCAGCGACGAGGCCCAGCCACAGCCATACCGCCCGACTGCGAACGATAGAACGGTACACTTCGTAGGCACCTACTTGTAATAACCAACGCACGTGTACGATCAACGACAAATTTAGTATAACACCTTTTGTAGGGGATTACTATCCCATATCTGAAGCAAACTCAATCTTTATGCAAAATGATACGATTAATATTACTGTCCACGAAAGACTTGGTCCTTCGAGCCGGATACTTTACATTTTCTAGTTAAGTTGATTTTTTTTAATTAAAATGGAAAAAAATGGTATTATAGAACAAGTAAAATAATTGCTAGACCTTTCGAATGCGGTCCGTAATCAAGCGTCTATAAAATTCGGTCGAACGAGACCATTGAGAGGAACGCAACGTCGCGGTCTGTGAACTCAGGCTCGACATTGCGCCGACATTGGGCCGAGCTAAATAACGCAGATAGCGAAAGGTCGACGACCGACAGTGCCCAATATCATGCGGACGATCGCAAGATCCACATCGCGGGCACCTGCCGCCTCGTGGCGTTACGTAACGAGCACCAACGCATGCTCAACTCAACCGACCTACCCCAATTGCGGGGAACTTGACTTAGATTAGCATACTTTTTTGGTAATTTCAATACATTGCGCAATGGTGCGTCCATATTGTTAACATAACACAGAGAGAGAATTAACATGTTTTATACCGATCTTCATAAATAACTTTGTTACGCTCTCACAAGTTAAATACTAAGCTGTTTAGAAATGTAGTAAGTTAGGAATAATTAAAGCAATATTTAATTATTCCTAACTGCGTTTCTTATTTTATTTGCATTCCCAACACTTTTAGTACACCTTATTCAACCCAACATCCGTAAGTCTTTGATTTAT